CGCACACACACACACACGCACACACACACACACACACGCGCAAAATCAGGTGCACTCAGATTAGCAGGCCTTTTCCAGCCTAGGACCAAGAGTTCCCACTTTGGCCGAACGCAAAAGGCATTTTGAGGAAAACAAAGAGGTCCCATCGTGGTCATCTCAGGGATGCGAGTTCGCGCCCGCTAATCAGGCGAAGTTGGCTGCGGCGGCTTCTTTGCCCAGCCCTCGCTCAACTTTCCTGATCAATGTGTAGTCCGTGTGCAGCCTGTGTACCTACAGTTGCACGGCCCAAGATTTCTCCCAGGCAGAAGCTCGGTGTGCAGGCTGCCTGACTGTGCGCATGCGATATGGGCCATCGTTGAACGCCCAAGCGCAACTCGAACTGGACTTAAACGGTGATCCACAAACACACCAATTTGATTGCCATGGGGATTCCTTTGAGAGAAAGGTTTCCCGCGGCGCCTTACTTTGGATTTGAGCACCATGCGTTGAGCAAGCCGCGACAGATGCAGTTAAAAGCACGCGAGCCTGCGGCTCACAAATGCTGCCAGCATGCTACGCTTTGTTGACTGGGTCTTGACAGGCGTCCCCAACTCCACAGGGAGTCGGTGGCAGCAGGGCGCCTAGTTGGGCTGCTCTCCCAAAGCCTTGTGGGAGAAGTTATCATCAGGAATCCCCACCTAAACCAGTGCCATCGATTTTTCAGCACTCTAACCCAAAAAGGACACCTATGATTTGGACGAATCTCTTTTGGGTCCAACGGCATTTGACTTATTCCAGTGCCTTGGGGTGTTTGCAAACCGCCGGCTGTGACTGTAGTTTCGTGCGACGCTGGCACCGTACTCGGCGCAGATCAAAAAGCACCTCGCATGGGAGGATCTCTCTTGCGCACGCTCAAGGAACCTCGATTGTCGATTTCTAGAAGGAGTGGACCAAACATCTGGGCAATGTTCACACAATGCTCGGTATTTTTCCGCGTTCCAGTAGTTGTTTTTCCGCTTCTCCGAATTGCGCAGACTCATTTGTGTCGCAAGGCCGGCCAGTGACAGGAACTCTCAGCCGGAGCCTGAAAGCGCTTGGGCTCCCGTTGAAACCGAATCCCCTTTGATTTCTCAAGGGGTGTAAACATTCCTTGGCAGGACTCTTTTTCAGAATTTTCGTGAGAGGAACTAGTCAGAGTGAATGGGATGAATATGGCACCGCAGTATTTCCCTTAAGCTCGCAAGAAAAGAGTACAAAACCAAGATGCGGAGGTGGTGCCGTTCACTTTTGCACTGCAAGCCCTCCATGGCCGGCCTGAGTGGAGTTGCAGGTCGGCCCGCGACAGGAAGCACACTGGACGACATGTGGGACCGACGGTCGGCAGTTGAGAGGCCTTGATTGTGGGAGTGGGCAAGTGACCAGGACACGCGGTGGCCCTCACTGTCACCAGAGTTTCTCTCCTTGTGGGAGTTCTTAACATGGCTTATGACCTGTGAAGGGCAACACCAAAAACACCATATCCTATGAAAACGCCAAGTCTTGGTTTCGAGGACTCCTTGGCGGTCTTGTCCTTGAGAGATCGCGTGAGCAACTTGCTACAGCAGCCCGGAACTCAGCCGCTAGATATTGGACTTTTGGGGGGGACGTGCAGGAACTGCCTTCTGACAAATGCAGCTTGCACGAGGCCGCTACCAACCAGAGGTGAGGGCATCAAAGAGTATGCCCGAGAAAGCTCTGTGGGACCTCTGCCAGTGCGCCATTGGGGCAGTTACATTCTGAAAGTTGGGTATGTCTCTTTACAGGTTGGGCCCCCCCCAATTGGCATCGGTTTTCCTCTTGGTTTCCCTTCAAAAACCAATCAAAAGGGGGTACCCTCAAACAAAGACACCCAGACGTCTTGGCCAGACCTTGCTTGTGGTGGACGGCCATTTTTTACTTTCCAATTAAACTCTCTGTTTCAAAGGAGTAATAACACATGTTTCGCAAGATACGGTCATAGCTCGCATGCTCAGAATGGATTGATGCTCTCAGGTATCAAGTGGCCTAGCGAGAGCCAAGAAATCAGCAGGTGACCAGAACCAATAGCAAATAGCAAATCTGTGCAAGCTTTCCTTTGCAACTACGCTCATGTTTGGCTAACAACGGCGGGTATCCACACAGGTACTCTAACCCTCGCATGGTGCACCTCGTGTCTGAGCGCCCGCGAGAGTCCGTGTTACCGGTGCTTATCCAACATTGCGCAGGTGGCACTTCCATCAAGAAGACGTCGCCAAAGAGCTCATTTTGGAGCATCGCTTTCCCGATCTACTATGTTTTGCTGAGTTTGCTTTGCAACGCGCTCTTCTTTGTCGGATCATGCTTGTTTCTGCCCATCAAACTCACGGAGCGCAGCGTCTCCTTCACCTTCGTGATTGAGAATCTTGACGTCGAGCAGGTAATGACGTCTCACATCACGTTCTTTGAAGACTTGGAGAATAACTTCACTGGCGCGCTGGCTTCTGACCAAGCGAATCCGATCAAGCCGCATCACACACACTTCCAGTGGCGCAAAACGACATCTTGCAGCCTGGACAACGCAATGCTCTTTGACGTGAACATCTATCCGCGGGACGGGCACAATGTTACTGCTCTGAAAATGTCGCTTCCATCGTCTCTCATAATCAGCAACGCTTTGAATCGGTCATTTTCCAGTCTCGGCATTGGTGATGCTGCCGTAGGCAGCATGGACGTCACCGTTGTCAGCCGTCCACGACTGGTTGAGACCCCGATTGTGCAGAAGTGGGCAGTGGATCTTGGCTGCAACTTGTTCATCATAGGCAGCGCGCTGCTGGCGGCGATTTCTGGATTGGACTTGTTGGAGGATATGCTGGCATGTGGCGTCCTGCCTGAAATTCGTGGTTCGTTGAATTTTGTTCTCATCTCCAGTGGTTCAAAGATATCGTGTCTTTTCAAGCGTGCATTGACTTTTGGGCCAGTATACTTGGTCTTTGTTGCCTTTCCTTGAACTGCCGAGGATTGAAGCTGAAAGTGCCATCCCCATCCGGGAAGTCTCATTCATTTTCCTCCCACGGGTATGAGATGGTTGGAAGCGACAGCGAGGCTTTCGGGAGTGACGCATACGAAGGAGTTTCTGTCATTGCAAGTGCCCGTGCAGAGAGGGGCTTGTACCTCACGGGGGGATTGATCTTCCTGGTGGGCACCATATACTTCCAGCACCCTCAGATGATAAGCCACCGTGTCCCCTCGGAGGTGATGCGGGATGAGGACGTGCTCTTCGCGGCCATCTGGATGTTCATCCTGGGTTCCATCATTTTTGTCTTCGCCACCTTCCTGAACGCCTTGTCCCTGAACGTGTCGGCGCCTGGGAGTTCCAAGAAGACCTTCATCCACTGGTCAGTGGCCACCTGCGGGGTCTACGAGCTCGGGGGTATTTTATTCGTGATGGGCTCGGTGTGCTTCATGCCAAACCAGGGCTGCAAGGAGGGCATGGAGATCCTGGGCGCCTGGTGCTTCATGCTGGGGGCTTGCTGCTACGTCATGGGGGACTTCATCGAGTTCATGAAGACCTGCGCCCTGATCTTCTTGCGGATGAAGCAGGAGGAGGCCGCCCAGAAGATCGAGCGCGCCATGCTGCACTACCTGTTCCGGCAGCGCTTGGCCAGTGTGGGGAAGTACAGAAGGCAGAGCCGGCCGAATGAGCAGTCCCGCCGCAGCTCCGTGCGCTCGAGAGGGAGCGTCAAGCAGCTGGGACTGGTCAGGACCTTCACCCAGGCCCTGAAACAAAAGTCCATCATCCAGGCTCTAAAGTTCGAAAACGTGCCTAAATGTGCTGCAGAACATGATGGCAGCACAGAGTTGCTGGCTGGTACGAAGATGCGGTTGTGAAGGGATTTGGCAGACTCCCAGACGAAGGGATAGTCCGAGTTCGTCACAAACGTTTAGTTCGAACGGTGCCAAAGAGCATTGCTTTTGAACGCACGGACTGCGAAACTCCCAAAGACGGAGCATCCCTTCTCGTGTGCGTATGGACTTCTTCAGTGTGTGTACATTGGGCTAGGCCGATCAAACAGGTTGGCGAGTGAAAAGTACGGCTGCCTGTGGCACGACACTTCTTCCTGGGAAATTGTTCAAATGAAGCTCTGAACATGATCCTTGACCGGTAGTCGTGGTTGCGTACTTCTTCAAAGTCGTGAGACGACAGCACTCAATCTGACTGAGGTACCTCCCATTCACTTGAGCCAGACACCTTCAGAGGCTCACGGTGCCAAGCTCAGTCGGCCATGGAATGACTGCGAAGCTTCTTCGCTTCTGCTGCAACATTCCTTCGACTTGGGGTTGACAAACAACAATTGTGCAAGTCAGAACGCGTTCTAACCACAGAAGGTTTGGTCAACATTTCAGTAGTCCATGGTCAATTTGCAAGGGACATGGGGAGCTCATCTTGTTTTTGAACACCCAGAATTATGCACTCATTGCTACTGATCCCGAGCCCATTGGGGCACCAGCCATGTTTGGACCCACACGGATTCGATGGGACAAGTGGGGCAGCTCAGGGAACTTCACGATCGACCAGCTCGTGGGGGTGCGAGACCAACAGGCTTGGGCGTTGCGCTCACGTTGATCAGAGACCTCAAACTGCAGGCTTTATGACGGCTTCAAGACAGGGCATTGGCTGGCGTTCTTGCTTTCTTTGGGATTCTCGCGTGTGGAATCCCGATGGTCTGAAACCGCCAAAGCCCCCCTTCACGTTTTCAGTGAAGGTTTGGGAGTCCAGAAGGAGCTCCTGCTCTGATCAACAATTTGGGCTAAGCTTCTTGCTCGCCCATTGAGGCCTCTGAGCAGTGGCGGGGCTTCCGAAAGAATGACCAGAGCGACTTCAACGAAGCGCGGGTGGCGAGCCCCAGGCATAGCGAGCCAACGGGCGCCCCCACACGCAACGAACCGAAGGCGATGGAAGGGGGTTGTCGCGCTTCACCTTGTTTTGTATCTGCCCATCATGAGCTCAACCCTAAGCTCACCTTCACTACAGAAGCCAACCCCATACAAGCCACGCCTGAAGCCCACCCCAAACGCAAAGTACATTTGCCAGTACCCACCCTTGACCATTTTGCTGATGGACCTGTGGCTCTGTAGGCTCAAGAGGCTCAAAGGCACTGCGGAGACTACTCCACGGTACCGGCTTTTCTTTCGTTCTTCTTGGCGCCAGATGAGAACCCAAAACCTTTGTTAAGCCAACTTAGCACAGAGTTCTCCAGATTTGGACGTTGGGGAGACCTACAAAATGCGCTTGCAGCTGCCCAGCTCTGCTTATTCCCAGCTCTGAGCCTTTAGGTCCACATGGGGCACATTATGCGGAAGTGAGGATTCCGCGGTGAAGGTTTTCCTTTGAGCGGACGCTCAAAACTGAGCTCGCGTTAATGTCTCCCTCACAGTTTCACAGCCAGCTGCCAAGCAGCTGGAGTGCCATGGCATAGAAGTGGAACAGGATCCATGGGCGCTTTGTGAGCCTTATCGAACTCGGTTGAGTCGTTTGCTTGAGGAACCTTGCGGCTTTGTGTGGCTCAGACACAGAGAGCCATGAGCACCAGGGCTCACAGTCTAATGTGACAGAAGGGATGACTGGAGGGAGGACACGCTCAAGAGCCCCAGGTGACATGTGAGGCAATGTTCGTGAATTGGTACCCAAATCCGAGGCTGTAAGCAAGGTTAATTCGATTCTGCCTCCGCCTGTGCCACTTCATGCAATGTCCGACTCCAGCAGGGAGGCACAAGACTCGTATGGTGCGTGCTTCGCGATCCAGCCAGTTGTCCGCGACCTTTGTGATTTTGCACAGGTTGAAGAGCACGCGGAGCGCAGGCACGGTAGAAGGGCTGAGATTGAATGATTGACCATGTCCGACTGCTCTAGGCTTCCAGACGTCCCGCTGAAGATCCAGGAGGTGAGAGCCGTGCCGTGAACCTGTGATTTGGTGGGCACGAGGTTTGGCTGCATTGTGATGGCGCCAAATGTATTGACAGGGGACGATTCTGCCGCGTCTCATGGCAGAGCTGCCACCTTCGGTGGTGTCTGTGAAGGACCTTGTGTCAGGCGGGGAGAGCAATGCATTGAGCCAACCCAAAGCAACTACGGATAATTCCGTTGAGGGCATGGTGAATCTCTTTCCCGCAATGTCGCCAAGAAGCCACGCAACGAAACGGAGAGAGTAGGATTCCTGTCACTTGCGTGAAGCAGGTTTCGCAGATGCCCCGGAAAGGTGCACACCTTAGACGTTGTGGTGCTTTGCGCGAACTGAACCTTGGAGCCAGGCATGCTTGTTTGAACTTCACTTCTTCTTCGAGTGATGACGCTGTTCCTGCTTTTTGAGGGCCTCAGTTTGAACGTGTTGTTTAGTTGGAGCTGTTCTGGACATTCCACTTGGCAAAGATATTGCCATGCTTTATCTGCAACACTCCCTGTTTGCCAGTGCATCTCAGCTTGAGGCTTGTTGAAGAATGGGGGCACCAGGCTGGCCGCGTGGTGCCCTCTGACACTTGCAGAGAGGTGCTTTCGGCTTTCCGCTTTTGTGAATCAACCAACAAAAGCTACGTCTATCCACCAGCAGCGACAAACATTTGTGGCACTTGGGCTGATGCCATTGTCGCTTTGGGCGACTTGGGTTGCCTTTATAGTTGCAGCAAAACCACCCCTACTCATGGTGTGCATGGCTCAAAGACTTTTCGATCTTGCGATCAAGCAGCTTAAAACAGTTATTTGCACCAGGGTTTTCCAGTATTTCCGGTGGCCTCAGCCGAAGCGAGTCCTGATACATATACTTTTTTCTACATAATATCCAGGCCTCGGACATTCTTGCCATGGCCCCGAAACCAGCCACCAGCCACTTTTTGGAGCGTAGTCTGTGTGGTTGGCGCGAGAGGCCTATGAGCCCATGCGGGTGACCTTGGAGGCTTCCACGGCGGAGGCTTCGATGCGTGTTGGGAAGGGACGGCCATGTCTGTTGCCTGTGAATTTGGGTGGCCAGAGAGCCGTTTTCTTATAAAATATGATTGTCTCTGCTAGACTTGGAAACTGCACAGAGATGGGATGGGAGGGGATGCGAGAGCTCTCTGGGTCAGGAGGCCTTCCAGGAGGCCTTCCAGGAGGCCTTCTCGTTCCAAGGCCATCAAGGCCGTGGGCCGAAAGCCGAAAGCGAAAGGAAGGAGAGCGGTGGGTCGAAGGCACATTTTGGCTGCGGGGGTCGAAGGGCGGCTAAAAATGACACAGGTGGGGGTTTGCAGGCAGTCACAGGGAGACTGAGAATTCTGCAAGGTCGCAGGGTGCCTGTGCGCAGGCCTCCATAAAATAATTGAGGTTGCGGTCGCGCCAGTTTTGTTGCAGGGCGCTTGTGACTTCAGGGTGCTGTTTCGAGATGCTGTTAGACATTCTGACCCTAAGTTGCACAGGGTGCTGTCGCAAGGTGCTGTAACCCCAACATTTGTCAGCTTTAGCGCGCTTGGAAGATTCTGCCCAGAACGTATTCGAGCAGAGATTGAGCAATTGAGACGACTGTGCTTATTCGTTTCGGGCCTTCAATTGTTCCACGCAAGCACCTGGTCAACTTCTGTTTTTTCTCGCCGCCAACATCGCTGTCGGGCTTCGGAGGTCAAACAACCCACCCAGTGATTTATCTCCCCTCTCATTCCCCCCCCCTCCTCCTGTCACGGTTTACGCACACGAATCCCCGATGCTGGAAAGCTTGAACTTGCGATCGTTACTCAGATATGCTAAGCATCTTTATATTTGAATGCTGCCCCATTTGTGCGTCAAGCAATCGGAGGTGATCTTTTGCTGCAGCTTGGGGAAGATCTAGCGCCTCCGCCTCCTGTGCGTGCCTCAGTGCATGCATCTCAATGGGTGCAGAGTAGTGGTTTTTTATCCCTGCAAAACAGCAACAACCACGTGTTGAACGGGTAAGTATAGCATGATGGCCCTCTATCATGCTGCATCATTGGCCAAGGAGTGGGCAGAAGTGACGACTGTGATGATGAGGAACCTGCCTAACAAGCCACGGGCTCAAAGTTGTAAATCGAAAGCAACGAGATCTCCTTGTGCTTGCGCTTTGGGAGAGTAGCGATAATTGGTTTTCTCTTTGGCTTTCCTGTCGCCCTAAGAAGGGCACATTTGTTTGTCATATTTTGGCCCTTGGGAGGCACCCCCGGATCATGGCGCCCGTAGCCCCAACCAGTTCTGTTCTCCTAGGTACACGCAGCGCATGCTGCTTATGGAGGCTCGCCAAACGAAGTCGTCACAGAGCACATCATTTGTAGCGAGTACTGTTGGTTAGGGGGAGGACATTGGCCCCAAATTTCCAAGTAGAAAGCCACCATGATGTTCCCACTATTTCCAACATTTTCTAGGTTTGTCCGGGCTCATATCGCAAGGGCAGCTCCATGGATGTGTGGTTGTGGGTGGGGTTGGGTTGGTTTGTTGAGGGTTGCTTGAGGGTTGTTCGAGGGTTGGTTCGTTTTAGTGAGTTTAGACTGGGCTTGAAGTTAGCCGAAGGTTGTAGTCTCGGGTCAGGCAAGCCCGAGGATTGTGCTGGGGGGCGGGATGCTGGGCTGGCCGGGGGGCTGTGGGGGGGGGGGGAACCATCCTCAAAATGGATAATGTCAGCTTCTGGCTTGAGGCAGACAAGGATTGCCCATGTCGCAGAGGGGTGGACATCCAATTTGGATGCAGCAGGGATTCCGCGCAGGTCAACCACAGCGGTTTCTTGGGCACCTTTGACTTCCTCTATCTTCCAATAGGCACGAACTGCGTGCGTTTAGCGTTGCTTTGGATTGGTGCCAAATTGAGCACTCCTTGAATGGGACTGCTTGCACCTCTGCCAGTGAATCTTATTTGTTGCGGGAATCCAGGCGGCTCCATCTATTGCCACTGGGAAAGAGAAATGCAATTGCCCTGACAGATTCTGAGACTGCGGCAAATCGGGGGTATGCGTTCCTCAACTTCCTGGAGCCTTGGTTTGCGTGGATGTGAGGTGCTGAGCCCGTTGCCCTCGTTGTTTTGCCTTGACTTTTGTGTTCTGGCCCCACATTCTTCTTAAGGAGCCTTCACACAGGTCCAGGACTGCGGAATTCCTATTCTCCCAGAAAGGAACCATCTCAGCGCTGAGAGGGCTTGGGTGAGCGCCGAGGTTTCGCTCCATGTACGAGGGCCGCAGGATGAGCCGGTTCAACTCCAAGAAGGCGGGTGCAATTGAAAACTGACCCCGAACTGAGTTTCGGTTCTCGTTTTCATCTCAGCCACTCCTCTCTTGCGATCTAACACCAGGTGATCTCTGTGGTGCCGGCCACCCTCCAGGCGACGCTAGCGTGGTTGCGACTGGAATCTCAAGGTGACTTGCTGGCGGCAGGGTGTTTTGTGTGTTGGACTCGAGTTTGCAGAATTTCGAGCGAAAGGTCCACTTTTTGCAAGGTGGCTCATGAATCTCGACTAATTCGCCTGACTTGACAGGGCTTTGACGCCAACTACTCGCACTACTCTGGCGCTCGTGCAACCTGGCTTCTGCATGGTGCGTGTTGTCGGCAAGAGGCCACCAAACGGAGAAGGCTTTAACTGACAGCCCGCCAAGACTGCGCGACCCTTATTTTGGTCTTGCTCAGAGAGTTTGATTCATGAAGGTTGTGGAGTAGCTACTCCTTGTGTGCCATGGTCCAAAAACTCGCTCACTTGGAGTCAGTGGGGATAGGGATGCTCAAGAACCGGTTGTTGGCAGAGAAAACATTCACCCGTGGCCATGGGTTTGTGGCTTGAGGGAATATGGGGTACCCGGACACTGGCTCCCTGACCAACCCAAACACCGGACGGCGCATGTGACGTGGGCGAGACACCCAGGTCAGCCGTGGCGACCCATCTGCTCGTCCGCTTTTCTTGCGGGTCCCGGCCTTGAAATGGGACGGGCGCTTGCGCGGCAGGACGGCAATAGGCACTTGGAGGAAGCCATTAAGCTGTGAGCCCCGACCGTATGGTTCTCAGGTGGGTTTCTGCATGTGCTGTGACTGTCTATGACTTGATCCCTCAATGCATTGGTCAAAGTTGCCAGGATCATTACTCACAACATCAAGCTTTGACCACATCATGCCACAGCCGTGTGTGTGTGTGTGTGCGCGTGTGTGTGTGTGTGTGTGTGTGTGTGTGTGTGTGTGTGTGTGTGTGTGTGTGTGTGCAGGGCAGCCCCCCAATCAAAACGGCGCAGTTTTGCCTTTCGGTTTCCATAACCAAACATGACTGAGCCTCAACGATGAAGAGGGCCACGCGACTGCCATGTTGCTTCTGAAAGAAGAGCAGCGTGTAGTCTGCTGTCTCGACGATGCACGAACGAGTGGAGGTCTGAATTGAGGAGTGTCTGATGTTCTTGAGTTTCTTTCACCAGTGTAAATTGAACCAAGGACTAAAACCAGCGTTTTTTTCTTTTTCTTTTTTTTCTTCGGTGGTTTAATTTTGACCCATACCCATAGAGGTTTTCTTCCGCCCGATCTGCGCCATATCGCCGATTGGAAATCTTTGGCTGCCTTTCTCAGGCCAATCTTCCAGCGCTCCGAGGGCACCAAGACCCTCAAGCGTGAATGCTTAGAACGGCCAAGGGTTCTGCCCGGGAATGTTCTAAATCATTGTGTCTTGAAGTTCCCTTGTGATGGAATCACTTTGGATCACTCTAGATGCAGAGACCTAGGTGAGCCTTTATTACTTTTGCGGGCACTGCGCAGCTCGTTTGAGATGACAGCTTGCTAAGCCGAATCCTGACATCCTCAGTTGGGGTTTAGGGATTTGAACCCCTCGGTCTTGCAGAGGGTAAATGGGAACACCCACCAAACCTCCACCAATGCCAGCCAGGGAAGTTGAATCCATGAGTTTCCTTCACGTCGAGCTCGATTGAGCCCGAGGCGCGCGTTGACGTCAGCGATCCTTGGTGCGCCCAGACCAGCGACATGAGCCAAGCCGTCAAATCTGAAATGGAGAAACTTGTTCCTTTGCTGAAGGAATTATGACAGATTGTGATTTGGCTGACCCTCAGGTGGCTGCAGGAACTATAGATGATTTATTGCATAATGAAAGCCAACGCGTGCTCGTCAGTTTTTCAACGGGCCCCCAGTGCTTGACGGGTGGAACTGCTTGGGCCCTTGCTGAGCTGAGTTGCATCCAGGCAATACCAGTATCCCTATGACGACTACGCGGGCCCTGCCGGAAGCTTACTCTTCCGTTGGCCTGGCTCCATTGACCGAAGCTCTTTCCCAGGCAAGTCTGGCGTGGAGCGAGAGCGATGGTACAAGCCTCAGCTGCAGAGCTGTAGGGATGACTTAAGGAACTGGCGTGAAATGAAGGCTCTCTGAAGAGAATCTGATGTTAGAACTCCTCATTCCAAGTCTGCGAGTTCGTATTTTTTGCAGACAGGGGCACGGCGTCATGGCATGGAAATGCATCCTTGAACCAGCGCGCACCGAGGTCCAAGTCACTCTGACATGGAGGCTGGAAGCACTCTGAGCAACAGCTCTTTGAGTTTTTCTCTTCCCAGCCACAGGTTGCCAACGCCGAAGGCCTGAGTTACGTCCCCAAATTGCCAGCATCTCAGCCTATCTCAGCATTGAAAAGCGACTCGCGAGATCGTCGTAGTCCGGATGTTCGGCTCGATGGCATGGTCCGCATGGGGACTTCAAGCCAACGTGCGGCGCACTCGCCAAATTGCTATTGGGAAATGGGAGGTTTGCAGCCTGTTTCCGAAGTCAGCGCGGGGGGTGAATAGTGGCCGTGGCTCATGTACGGGTGTTTCTCAAAATATGGGACCCCTAGAATGGCTTGTTCCCTTGTAGTTCTTTGAACATAAGGAAGATCTTTCTCAGAAACCACAATATGGCGAGACTGGCGCGACTCCCTGCATCGCCTGCCAGCTGCTCACAATGCGGTGGTCGCATCCAACTGATTTTCCAATTCTGCAGGGGAGCCCAGCGTACCGGGCAGCTCAGCCTGATGGTCCAATGTATACCAGTGAGGGCAAGTGCTTCAATGTCTTCAAGTGTGGGCCCTGCGAAATAAATGTGGTGAATGGGCAGGTGCAAATATGTAGTCTATGGTCCATTTGGGAGGACTCGTAATCTCAACCACAAACAATAAGCATCAACACTCATTTTTCCCTGTCCATTGCGGGAGTCGAATATTGTGATTGGTTGGAGTACAAAGCTGTCCGGGTTGGTTTGCACTCTTTCCGCGTATCGGGTTTGAGCGGGTTTGCATCGTGGCCCTCTCGGTATGAAGAATGGCTCCGAAAATTGGCGAGGTACTGACCAGGTGGTAGGAGGTTCGACCGTTCCATCCATGGGAAGCGGATGTTGTCCATTAGTACCCTGTGTTGTTTAGGTTGGACCTCCCAACGGCTTCGGTGTGTGTCTCCCAGCATCTACATTCCGACCACGCGCAGCAGCGTCAAGCTCCACCTCGGTTCGTCCACCGCTCCGAGCCCAAAGCCTCACCCAAACGAAAACCTTTTGGACAAAAACTGTCTCTCAAAGACATGGTCTGAACTAGTTGGCCCCGGTCGTCAGCATAGCTCTGGCGAGCTCCCACTTGAAGCGTCCCAAAACGTCTCACCCACATGGACCCCAAAAGTGGTTGGTCTCCCAGAACCCGCCTTTGGCAAGGTCCCGCCTGTGGCACGGCGCTGGACTTCAGCTGCCTGGCCGTGCGCCAAGCACGCGGGCTGGGAGAGGGTTGGATCGATGGTGCACTGAGAAGATGTATGCCTGGTGTTAAATCGATGGCGTCGAAGCCGGAATTCTGGGCTGTGGAACCGGACTAGGCAAAGGGCATGGGAGTGGATGGACACAAACGTTGCGAGAGCTGAGCAAATGCAGTGACCAGCTGGTGAGACGTGGCTTTCGTCCTTTTTCCCACGCCCTCGCTGCGGCTGAGTTGCGAAACTGAGGCTGGCAGTCCGTAAGCCTTGCAGGCCTTGGCCACGCTCGCTTCGGCAACTGACTTGGATGCTTGCGGCGTTTCAGGTCTACGGGGATGCCAGTGGCGAGTGAGCGCCACGGGTTCGTTCCATTATTTGTTCAAGTGCGAGAACCGCTTCCGGGCACAAGCCGGCCTGAGCTTGATAGGGGTTTTGGTTCAGGGAACTCGTAACAAGAGGTTTTCTACCGAATTTTACAGAGAACGCCACAATGCTCTGGGCCCGGCTTGATTTGGAAAGCACTTCATCGCAGTTTGAAGTTGGTCGGCGAGGCGTGAAGACACGTTATGGATTTGTGTAAAATCCTGGCGGTTTTGCGCACATCACTCCGGCAAGGGCAGGGAAAGTGGATCTTCAACGGGCAGAGCATTGATGGGTGCCTTTCTTTCCAAGGTACAATGCTGCGCGCCAGCGAGACAGCAGGTTGGCTGTTTGCTCAACCATTGCACAGCAGTGGGCCGAGTACAGCGCTCATATAAGGCTATGTGGGTGTGCGTCTTTTTTCAGGGACCCCCGCAAATGGTGGTATTTCCTTTTGGCATTCCTTTAGAACCACAAACATAGGGTACCCTCAAAAAAAGACAGACCCCTGTGACGTAGAGTCGTCCGTGACGCGACGCCAGCGTTCCGACGTTCCGACGAGCGGTCCACCGCAAGACGAGGGCCGTCTTGCACTGGTCGTTTCCAATGCCGGCGGCACTTTTTGAAGCTAGCGAATTGGATATGCGTGGCTTTGGGTGTGCGGTGACCTTCAGCTTCGCCTTTCGCCTTGCCGAATGTCTGGTTTCGCTCTGGTTGAGTCTTGAAATGTCTGCAGTGGACAACTTTTTTGAATTTCCTGCCGAATTTTCTGAGTTGTCCTTGTCCAATGGGTCAAGGCCTTCTCTATCCGCTGTCAGCGGTTGGGTACCACGTAATGTGCAGAAAGAGAGGGTTATTCGATTTGACGACTCTGTCGATCCCTTCAAGCAGCAATTCACCGAATTGGGTCCTGAAATAACCCTCGGGTTGCGTGGTGGCTTGCCAGCTTGCACCACGAGCTTTGCTTGTCAAGTTCAAGCGCGTGGTGAACCTCTCCCCGGGAAAACCGCAGGAGCGCATGCAGCCTGCCCGATCTCAGGCCTTGGTTTGTTTTTCTGGTGCTCTGGTCAGAGACGAACTATTGGTCTGCAGTGGGCAATTTGACTTTCACCTTGCTGGTAGCACGTTGGCTGCCTGACACTTGCCGGCGATCAGATCATGTTTTGGGACGGGATTGGGTGAATGCATGGATCTTGCGGCTCGGAGTTAGCCTTTTTTACTCTCCGAGCACTTCTTTGTGCAGCCTCCGCTTTGAGTCCAGTTCGGGCCCCAGAAGGTTTTCGCCACAGTCCATAAGCCGCGGTTGATCCCAAAGATATTCTGGCAGGCAACACTTCCATGAATCAGGCTACAAATCACCAAGACCTTCATTCTCTGTTCTTTTGGAGACCTCCCGAGGCCGGGATGTCAACACCAACCTACAGCGCCGCCGGCGAGATTTTCTGCCACCTGCACCTTTTTGGGGTCTTGCTGGATCGATCTTTCCAATTACGGGTCACAGTTACGCCATTCAATCCAATGTGCAAAAGGAAGGCGTTTAACATCAACTACTTCCTGAGCAGCTCTGCTGCCAATGCCCCAAGAAAAGCTGGGGCGATCAAACTATGGTCGAGGGATTAGCCAAACGTTGTCACCCCCCACTCCCCCACCACCCTACCATCATATGAGTTCAATGGCCCCCCCTCCTAACGCGAGTGCAATACCATGCCATAAGCGGACAGGGCTTCACAAGTTGCGGAAACTGACCCACGCGCTGCAGAAGAATGCCAGGTGAGTGTTCGCCTCGCAGCGTGGGGCAACTTGCTGCCGGCTTCGCCATGGGTTTGAACGAGTCCGCCCGGCGGGTTGCAGCGGCTGACGGCAAAGGTCCCGACTCGGTTGCCAGGTCCAGAGCAGATTCGGTGGCCCGAGGCTTAGAGTGCTGAGGCCCGGGCTTTTTTTTCCCACGCCGGATTGGTTTGCCCCGAAGGGAAAGCATTCACCTTAATTTGTCTTCTTCCTTTTTTTCTTTTTCTTCTGTCGGGCCAATGGGGCAAACAAAGCTGCCCATCACTGTTTCGTCCATACACGGGTAAGGACCAATAATTGCTAGGCTCACAATACACGCAACACGCAACAGCCGGCAGCTTCGCCGCTTTCACTGAGATTAACCCATGGAGATCCGATCGCTTTTCGCTCAGTTCGGATCCCCGCGCGGCGGCTACGCTGACAGGCAAGGAGTGGCTTTGGTCGTTGTGTTGTTGAGGTTCTCTTGGCAAGCTTCGTGGCGAGCCCTGAAGGTAAAACCAGCTCACCAGGAGGAGCTTGATTCAGGTCTTTGGAGTTACAGTCAAAATTATGGAAAGGTGTCTTTTTTAGGTCAGTTTGACTGAAACTACTGGTTTCAGCTCGCCATCTAGCCTAGGTCTTCGATTTCCACATCTTGAGAAGTGGATCATTATTCCTTAGCATTGGACAATCTTGTTTTGCAGTGGCAAGAACACCGTGGGATGTACCAAAACATTCACAAAAGAAGAGCCGTCAGCCTTCATGCCGTTCGACAGGCGAAGCATCAACATTGACATGGAGCCAGGGAGCGGCTTCCATCGCGGATGTGCGTGACCCAAAGACCCAAGTGCATGGGAGCGGTGGCAAGTGTATATTAGGCGAGGATGGTGGGGCGACCGACGTGGTTGAAATAAACCGGGGCAAAATCAAGAGGGGGATAAAACAACACCTTTCCCAATTTGTTGCGTCCTAGCCGTTTGTTTTGGCTTAGGGTATGGGGTTTAGGTGAGACGGGAGTTGGTGAATGTTGGGCGAAAAATTGGTTTGTGATGGGTCTCAGAACTGCATAGTGATAGCCGGGTTGTTCACAGGGGCTTGTGAAACGAGAGACTGTTGGGGAAGGGGGGGAGGGCTTATGCATTGAGAGGGGGAGATACTGGGTTTCAAAGAAACGGCTGGTGTTTCCCACATTATCGTCGTCGCTTCCCGTTTCCTGCATCGGTCCTTGTTTTTGAGTTTAGTTTTCTGAATTGTTCAAAGATACCCGCCAGAGTGATTCAAGCACGCTGGGGCACATGAGAAAATTGGTGTGCGTTTGGTTGTTTGTTTGTTTGTTTGTTTGTTTGTTTGTTTGTTTGTTTGTTTGTTTGTTTGTTTGCGTGTTGGCATTGGGGTTGGCATGCAGGGCACATGTATGGCTTAGGTCGCAGTCCCTCGCCCGTCAGTCCTGGCACAAAGCGCCTGGATTGCAGTGAGTGTATCCCGAGTATTTCAATGGTGTCTAAGTCCTGTTTCCGGGCCTAGCAAGTTTCGCTCTGTCAGTTGGAAACCCCAAGAGACAGTCTGCAGCGCGAATTCAAGTCTGATCCGTTGACGCTCTTCCTTCTTTCCCGAAGCCGTTGAATGGTGCAGCTCAAGCAAGACTGTCAAAGTTCAAGCGCCTGTTTGGTGGTTTGCTTGCTTGGTCAGTTGGGCTGGTGGTGAGTGGATAACTTGGTGAGTGGTTTGGCAGGGGGTGCAGGGGTGAGTGGTGAGCGAGTGGGTCAGAGGATGGGCGAAGGGTGACTCCAGTGCGAGTCCCACCCTTAACCGACAAGCCACAAGGAATCACACTAAACCCCACCCCGATTCAGAACATGATCCCCGATCCTGCCTGAACCAACCCTGAAGAAAGTCCAAGCCACGCTCTGACAGAACTCCGAGCCAGGTGAAGCAACCTCCAGCGCTAAATAAACGTCATCAAGACCCCAAACCCAGCCGAAACCCGAACCAACCCCATGCCAGCCCAAGTTCTGAGTGAACGAAACCGCCAGAAGCCTGAATCCCCAGAACAAACAAGCTTCACCAGGTATTGCGCCGAGCAGTGCCAGGGTTGGGCCCTTCCAGGTCAGGCAAAAACCATGCTAGCCAGCTGCGCAAGCGCACATCGCGTAATCGCTATTTTCGACTCTTGTCATACCTTATCATTCGACTGTTGTATTTCACAAGTTGAGCCAGGGCGAAAATGTGTTCTGTGCGCGATTTGGAGCGTGCGAACCTGGGGCGATTTCCGCTGTTCGCTTCCGACACAGCGGGTTTAACTTGCCATATCCCTGCCCCCGATCTACGCAGAGTGTTCGAGGCAGGAAGTTGCACAAGATCCAGCAAACACTCGGTTTTTGGCACATCGATTCAAGGGTTGCTTTTCAAGGTCTCGTTGGCCCTACCAGCCGCCAGAAGAAGAGGAAAGAGTCGAGACGTGACAGGTTTGCAGTTGTGTTTGACATTGTGAACTGCCAGCAAAACAGCTTGCAGACATTGCTGACACGTTAAATGTGATATGCTTGTTTCACAGGTGTTTGAGCTGATGTTGTGCTGGCATGTTTTTAGAAGAGCCTTTTGCATGCTTCCGGGAACAACAACCCACAATGCGTCAAGCAGTGTCTTTGTCAGGATAAATTCGGCGTGGCTCATGTTGTGTTTGAGCCCAACCGCTCTCCATGACATGATTTTGTGCTCTAGTTGCTCGCAATCCATAAGATGACGGGAGCTGCTGTAAAGACTTCAGCAAGTGTTTTTGCCAGTCGGTGTTGAGTGTGAAGTAAAGAGAATGCGGCCCTTCCGAGGTTTCAAATGCTGCGTTCGCTGCAGGCTGGTTACTCTTTTCTCACACTCTGCAAGCAAACGCATATCTGGGACATGCATCGCAGCGCATTTTTCGGGTTCGGCTTTTTTGTTGTTCTTTTTTTTGGGAGGCGCTGGACATGCCGTTTCTGGACTTCTCCTACGGTGTGGTGCCCAGCCGCAGGCCCGCTGTTGGCTTCGGGGCTTCAGCCGCGCGGAGGCTCCGCACTCGCCGGCTCCGCAGGCACTCGCCGGCGCCGGTGCGACATGACCACCGCAACGAGATTGTGCAGGCGCTGGACGCTCATGAGCCCGGGCCTGAGGACCAAATCGACGAAGGGACATGGTCCGTCAAAGTAGGGGAAGGGTGTGCAAGGGGGGGCCAGTGGTCCATGTAAGAGGTTGGTTGTTGCTCGAGTTCCAGTTGCCTATGGCAGGGCTGGCAGGAAAGTCACTCATGCAAGTTAAGCATCAACAGCTCAGCATGGGTCTCAATCCAGGGACACGGAAACAGAGGGCAACACATCATCCATACCCTACGATTTGGCGGGCTTGGAGCCAGGCACACGGCCATCCTTGGTCGCCGAGTGCAGGCCTCAGCACGAGATAGTCTTAGGGTTTGGGGTAATCCCTTGGATGGATTTGACGAATTCATGCACCTGGGGCACGCATGATCTGCTGATCTTGGGAGGGAGGTTCCGTTTGGCATTTCCAAAGTTCGAATGCGGAACACACGGCATCATTGCTTGAGTGAGGCGCGTTTGTCGCGCTCCCAATCTCGACGGCCTGAAGGCAGAAATTTAGGGCACCAATGGGATGTGCTTGATGATTGGACGCTGGGCACACCCTATTTGGCGCGGTGTTTTGCACAAGCCTCTGCATTCACTCTGCTCCAGTCGAGTTGGGCCTGTCCCAGGATTGGGGTTGTAAGCTAGTATTGTAAGCAATCCTCTAAGCAAGCGACTAGGGCCGACGAAGAACAAAGGCTTACGCGCGGTGTTCACACCTTTGCCCAGGACATGCCTCACATGAAAGCCTTCTCAAGTTCATAGAATTGCCGGGCTTGAAGGAAGGATTTCAGATCAATGTCGGGATCCATCCGCTCCATCCCGCGCAGCCTTGGTCGCACAGCCAGGCCGCGAAGTGCCGCCCTCGCCGGCGCGGCGAAACAGAAGCGGGGGTCCGATCGGCCACCGGTGATTCTGGCGGAGAATGACAAGCTTTCCAGCCTGTCCATGTTCGTCCGATGGACAAGAGTTGTTGGTCGTTTTTGCGCAGCCTAGAGCACTTGATGTTTTGCTCTGTACAACAAGATGACTGAAACATCTTGCATCTGAAGTGTGCAGATCAACGTTTCAACTCTCATGATTCATCGGAAAGGATTTTGGATGCGCAAGCCATGGCACGTTGTCAGGTCTGCCAGCCCATGCCAACGAGGAGGACTCCAGCCAGTGCCCGTTGAGGGCTTCCTTTTCTTGCGCGAGATAGGGACGCACACACAACGCACACACTTACGGGGGCCCCAAATATGATGGTTTTCTTCTTGGTTTCTCTTGAAATAAACGGCCCTAGAGTTGCCCAGGTTCGGGCTGCTGGGCGGGTTGAGAGGGTTGACTTTGGGGTTTGCTTGGAGCTGATTTGTGTTAAGTGTGCTGCTGGTTTAGCGGTAGGATTGTTTTAAGGCGTGGTTACGTGAGCGTGGGGCTAGTTTTGATGGCTTGGGGCGACGCCCCAAGACCAATCCATTTCCGCCCTTGTTCAAACCAACCCAAGACCCCATCTCAGTAAGATCTAAGCCCCAACACACCCAGATAAGAATCATTCCCGAGCAACTTCCAACTGTCGCCGCACTTCAGGCCCTAGGTCCAAGTGACGTCGGTGATGCTGCGGATGCGAACAAAAACCAGCGCCAGGAAAAGCAAGCCCTAGGCAAAAAAACACCTGAGCCTCTGCCCCCATACATCCTGTCACAGGCAGGGCTGTGGTTGTGAAAAGGATTCCGCAATTCTGGGCTAGATTAGCATGACGCATCAAGCGGCTCGTTTTTCTTTTGCAAGGTTGGAATTGCAGCAAACATCCAGGGATGGCTTCCAACATGCACGTTCTTGCCATTTTGGCCTCTCATTTCGTATCAGGTACGAACAATCACCAAAAGTGATGCGGAGCAAGTCGGGCAAAGGGGAGGTGCGGTTCGGATGGCTTCCTGGCCGTTCGTTCGGTTCCATTGGACAACCGTTCGAGCGAGGCCAAAGACCACAAGAAGGCCATGCACCAGAGCATGAAGCGCCACGACCCAAGAGAACTCGGCGAGGTTTCGACCAAGGGGTCATGAGGACAGCTTCCTTCAAGTGAAGGCAGGATTGTTTTATCACCAGCTGCGTGCACTGTCCTTTGGCCTTTCCTGTGGAGCTCGGCTCGCGTGAATCATGCCCACTCGTGCTTCTTTTCGGAGTGGGGATTTGCGGGTGGACGTGCAAATAGGCTTGGACACGGCCGCCGCCAAGCTGGAGAAGGTCGCCAAGGAGAGATTGCACGTGCATCCCACCGTGCGACGATTCCCAAATTGGGGGCCTGGGGATTGGGCACTGGGAGCGCTGGATGGCTGCCGTGTGCTTTCCCTAAATTGGGCTGTCAAGTTCATGTTGGGCCCCAAAATTAATGGTGTTTTCCATTTGGTTGTCCTTCGAGGTGAACAAGGGTCTTCAAACATCACACCCAATCTCAGGGTGATTGGTTCCAGCTACCATTCAATTTCGGTGCCGTCAAAGTTGGTGGTACTTGAGTTGTGGATTCTGTGATGCTTCATTTGTTGACCGCCCTTTTGGTTGGCTTCAAAGGCAAGCCCAACAAAAGCCAACCCGTTTTGAGCCTTCTCCAGGTTTGAGGCAAACCCATTTTTCAGAGCAACAGCTGTGAGGCTCTGGTGCTGGAGGCGCAAAGGCAGCCAGCTGCTTAGATCGAGGCCAGCATTTTTTTCCCCGCGACTCTACTGATACGTTTTGAGGAGAGCCCAAGAAATGCCAAAGCAAAGCCGCGCTTGTTTGCTCACTCGACGGTCCTTTCAGCATGCCAAGGTCTTTGAAGCGAGTGGATTGAAGGCGCCGGCCTTTTCATCAGGGCCGTCGCTCTTTACAACTTTTACGAGGCAGATGTTGACACTGAAGGCTTGTTGATTCCATGCAAGGGTCCAAAATCAATTTGTAGAGAATGCATTTCTTGTGCCGTGAAATTCTTACGGCTGCCTGTGTCCTGACATTCCAGCCTACATCCAGGCTGGGTCAAACGTGCCCACTTGCGCGCAGAATTGGGGGTGTTTCTCAAATAGTGGTCCCCTAAAATGGTTGCTTTGGTTTTGGTTTCCCTTTGAATACCAAGGGAAAGGGGGGTCCACCATTTTCAGTGACACTCAAGTTGGGACAGTTTCGCGTCTTCTGCCTTGGTTCGAGGTATCCATGAGTCGATCGCTGAGACGCGTAGGTCGCCTGAGGCGCGAAGGGAAGCGTTGGTTTGTTTGATATCGCGAGCCTGGGAAACCCGGTGGATTAGAGGTGTTTCGTTTAGAGGCAGGCGAACGCGGCATGGGTTTTATCCTATATTTTGTTGTTGTAGGTGTCCAAAAACTCTTCACCTGTGGAGGAACCGACCGGTCTCACGCTTTTGGTGCATGCCAATTCACGAATTATTGGACGTCGAGCTCACCGTGCAGGAAGGGGAGGTCGCCTCTACATGAGAGCCCTGCCAATATGTTGAGGCATCTGCGGTTGGATTTGCCAGGTGCCTACATGGGAAGAGTCTCAGTCGGATACTCGGAGACGCTGGCAGTCTTCTTGCAGCGGCTCTCCGCAGCCCAGGCGTTGCTATGAACGCTTCGGTGAGGTTCTTGCCCTTGCCCCAGCTGGATGCACCTGACGAGTTTTGGCACCTTTAATTGGATTCTGGGAGATTGACAGGTTCAGACAATTTGCCATGATTACGCTCCATCTAGTAACAAAGAACTTCTTGGACAGGCAGTCAGCCCGGCTTTTTGATTTTGGGGACGAAGCTTCATGATCTCAGGACCACTGTCGAGACGGTCGACCTCGGTGTGAGTCGTGCTTACATGCTGAAAAATCTTATGGCAGTGCTTCCGAGGCAATGGGAGGTAAAGAGAAGCACATAGGCTGATGATATTGGCCTGGATTGCCTTGGAAGCACTAGACGCCTCTCTGCAACTCGGCGTCCCAGACTGCAATCTTTGCCGTTAGGGAATAGGCGATTTGACCTGGGCGGTGCACCAGGACCATGGGTCATTGGCTGTGCTTTCCCTGAGCAACTTGTAGCTCGGTCAGGTGCACAGTTTCCCTTTGAAGAATTGGGATGAGAGCTGCAGATGGATCTGGCGCTGCTTGACGTGGCGTTGCAATCACAGAGCTAAACTTCACCCTGCAGTGACTTCGGTCCTGCTTTTCCCGCTGCCCACTGCCTGGCAACTTGGGCCGAGAAACGAACCAGGCGCCTTCCAGTCAGTTCTTCGAGGGAGTGTGTCATAATTCCCTGCCACTGGCGCAAGGACCTGTATTGGTTGATGTTGCCTTGAAAAGACGGCACCTCGAGAGTGCCGAATTTCAAGCTGTTGGATAGCCTGCCATCCTTTCAGCGGCTCGCCTTGCCCTTTTACGCGGCTCATGTCGGTTCTTCAACAGGAGACGTGCGATCTGGTTGCACAGCGACATGGCTCAAAAAGCCCAAGAGCCTGGAATGGAAGCATAGCCTGATTGGGACGAGCGGGGCGTGTTGCATCGCGGTCATGCTCGTTCCCGAACTTGGGCCACAGATGTCCGTTTGTTCTCAAAACGGGACCAAACTATTGCCCGTGTTTCATGTCTCCGTTATGGTGTCGCTGAGGGACCGGCTCCCTCCTCGGAGATTTAGCATAAGCTGAATCTTGCTGCTCAAGAGCTTACAAACAGAGGTTACGCACATCAATGTCTTTGAACTTCGATTGAGCCTCCACCGAATTCTACCGGTTCTTTGAGCGTGGAAACGTTGACCCAAGACAGTTTACAGCACTCGCGCAAGCAAGCCTTGAGGGTTTCCAAATCTTGTCGCATGACGTTGTTGACAGAGTCTAAATGAGCCAATCTGACTGACATGAGTGTACAGAATATCACTTAGTGATACCACCGAGCCATGCTGCGAGTGACCAGACTCTCTGCGAGGTGTTGGATTCGAGGCTTGGGAAGCTGGGGTGTTAACAGATATGGGATGGCAATCAATGCTTGATCTCCCAAGACCTGGATCATAGCCCCAAGGTTTACTTGTAGATCCAAGGGAGGCGATGAACGGCGCGATTCACTAGATCCGATGCTTCCCCTAGTCCCGTGTGCTTGGAGGGGTCCTCCGCAAGGCTTCCTTGTGGCTGCGTCGCTGTGTCCTTTTGCTTTTGAACCAACCTGAAATTCCTCTCAATCCGTGGCCCAGCTTTTGATCTTGGAATATTCAAGTCCATGAAGCTGCATACCTGCAATGACAGGGCGAGAGAGGCAGCTTCCAGGGTTCACGTGCGAGTCTCAGACACTGCACCGTCTTGGGCTGACGGGACCTTCCTTTTGGGTCGAGCACGGCCTAGGCTCTATGCTCGACACCGTCACCCCCTCCTCCTACCGTGGCGCGCGTGCGCAGATAAGCCCAAGCGCCTGCCTGAGAATGGTGTGTGTGTGTGTGTCCCCAACACTCAACAAACAAACACAGACACAAAGACACAAGCGCAAACCATGACGTAAACACCGACATAGACACAAAAACAAACACAAACTCAAACACAAACACAAACACCAACGCGCACACGCGCTCACACGCCCATGCCCACACCCACACCCTCACTCAGACTCACACTCACACTTACACTCACACTCACCCCCACATGCACGCGCAGACACACGCACACACACACACACCCAAAGGGATGAACTTTATGGCGCGGTAGGCCGATGTGAAGCCGAGGCCAGAAGAGCCGAAAGAGCCGAAAGAGCCGAATACGAAGAGTGAGAGCTTGCATCCTCACTTGACAAACTTGTACCAGGACCGGTTCGATTTGGGATGACTTGGGATGACTTGGGCTTTGAGAGCTCAGAGCTGTGTAAGCCCCTGTGAAGGGCTCTTTGCTGCAGATGGATCGACTGGGACAGGCGCCTGTGTTCGGATTCCAGACGCACAGGGCGGGGTGACTGTGGTTTGGCGTAGTGAATGATTGTGGGACCTTTTCAACAAGAGCTCGTTTGAACCCTTAACGCACCACCTTGGAGCATGGCAAAGCTTTGATGGCCAGTGCATGTGAGGCTAGCGGATGAATTCAGATTGGTTGTCTCCACCTCAAAACCTTAGGAGACGATGTCAGATATTTGTTGCAGACCAAGCCGCCGTTTTTGCGTGCAGATCTACCGCAACGTGCAGCTCTCCTACCGGGTTTTGGCCGTTGGCGTGGCTCCCAGCCATGCGGGTGGCGCTGGCTATGTGTGAGCTCAACAGACGAAATCTTTCGGCGTCTTTATGGGGTTCTTAAGGGAGGGGGGTGTAAGGGGGGGGGGGTAGTTGGAACCCCCTCTTGCATCCCCCCCTTAACAGCCTCAGAAAGCATAGCACTTGGCCCAAACGCAAGAGCACCGTGGCTAATTGACAAAGAGGATATCAAATCACTACACCTGACAAGAAGCTACAAATGGGGCGGCCTGTCCGCACAGGAGAATGGAGCAGAGGCAGAGTGCAGCTGTGAAACAATCTGCTAAAGCGGCCCGTCTCTTCACGCATCTCTTCGATAGGTGCGTCGTAAGTCCCCCATTGCCTGTAAAATTGCAACGCGATGCAAGTGAAGTGCATGTCTCCGCCTTTGTCCACCTCAAGTCAACGCTTGGGCCTGACCCTTCCGCTGACAGCATGTGATAGAGTGGTGCAGCTTTGCGGGCGCCCAATCAGCTTGCGCCGTGGCAATTGTCTCTTGGGAGTTCCACCTGGAGTCATGGCGGGCGCGGAGCCGCGCCCGTAGCGCTTTGAAAGGCTGTTGCCCTGCTAATGCTCAGGGTGTCACGGTGCATCTCGTAGCTCGTGCCAGCGCTCCAGTGTGTTTGACCAAACGCAGCTTCGCAGGAAGGCTTCGCCCCGGCCGCGAACTTGCCCGTAAATGAGACCGTCCTGAAGCTGGCTAGATTTCTTTTGCCTCGTGTCAAAGATCCTGAATACTCGACTTAATTTGCCCCACACACAGCGACTTTTTTAGTACAGATGTTGGTGACTCAGTCAGCTTTGCAGGCGGGGGCGCCGTGGTCCTGGGCATTGGCTACGTGGTTTTCAATTGGCGTGGGCCCTAGAGGTGGTTTTTGGAGCAGCACTTTGTTTGGGTCAATTCATACTAGGGTCGCATTGAAAGGGTCCTATTTTGACAATTCATATCACAACTGTCAGTTCATGTTTGGGTCCTATTTTTGACACGCCACACTTTGATCTTTTATTGGGGGTTACACCTTGAAGAGATCGACGTGCGCAGAGGACCATGCTGCGGTCGCATGCTGCCCAAGAATCCGCGGAGGCTGGGGTTTTGCGAGTCTGAGCAGTGTGTCTCAAGTGGTGTCGAGGTTTGCTTTTTGGATGCTTGGTTAGCCCGTACTGTGGAGAGACACGCTCCAGACATGTTCAAAGCAAGCAGTTGCACGGGCTTTTCGAAGCGAATTCCCCGTTTCAGGTGCCAAGAAGGGGATCTTGCTTTGGAGAAGCCTTTGATACAACAACTAACCACTATGTTGAGTATGCTTAGTGTATTTTCTACACGGCTAGATGTCTCAGCCACCGAGGTGGTCTCCCAGACCATGCGGGATGAGCAAGTCCAGTTCACCGCCCGCGAGTTTTCGAAGGATGCCTGTTGAATTTCCGGGGTGCAGTTCGGTGAAAGTGGAACAATCCCCCAGTGAAAGTGGAATCCCCCAATGTTGGTTTAATCATCCCTTTTTGCTTACCCAGGGAATCGCGGCATCTACTTTCGCCCTGGTGTATATCAGGCATTTTTTTGCAACTGCCGATGCCGTGCTTTGATCCACTCGAGTTGAAGATCGCAAAGGTTGAAACCAGATACTCAACATAGCGTGCGCTATTGTGGGGTAAGCAAGAAGTTGGGAGGTAAAGAAATCTCACAGCCTCTTTCTATCATCCTTAAGTTTGCACGGGTTCCCTTGCCGAATGTGTTAGCGAGAGGAGCTCTTGAACCAGCTGCTGCACGATGATGAGATCGCGTCCACCGTGGCGTCTTGGACTGACTGCCCGCGTTGCATTCCATGCTTTCTGTTTTGTAGAGATCCATGTTGCCGACAGGGGAAACGACCCACTACAGCTCAGAAGCGAAACTTGCAGCCTGTCTATGGCACGGGGGTGGGGGGTCGGGAGGTGTTTGGCGGTGGGGTAGGGTGGGTGGTGAGTCATATGACACGCAAATGATGATGCATGTGGAATGCAACGTGCTGGGTTTGGGTCATAGGTGTCCTTTTTGGTTGTTTTGCAGGAAAATAGATGGCCCTGGTTTACTGGTGGTTTAATCATCTACAAGGGCCATCTATTTCCCCTAAAAGGACACCTATGGTTTGGGTGGGGCTGGAAGGGCGAGAGCTCTCGTGCGCGAAGAATTGACACCGGGGCGATGGAGGACTTTGCGGCTGCTGGCATCCATCCAGGAGGAGATCGGGGCGCTTTTTGTGCACATCCTTCAGCAAGAGCAGGCGGGGGTGAAGCCTCTCCAGTCAGCCGTGCACATCAGCAAGTTGCGCAACAAGAGAGCTTTTTGGTAGGTGGTGGATGAAGTGAACAGACTGGCTGACAAGCTGGTGGCGTACCTTTGCTCGAGCCAGATCATCCAGGTGCCTCTCTGTGATTGCTGGTTGTTGCCTCATGCAATTGCAGTGACAATGGCAAGTTGTGCAACCAGCCACCATGTTGCAGCAAAATTAGTAGCAGCAGAAGCGTTAAGTGGAGTGGTGATGGCGGCAGCAGCAGCTATTGTAGCAAGAGTGGTAATGCAGTAGCATCGTCAGCATTTACGACGGCAGCAGCAGCAGTAATAAGGCGGTGGTGGCGGTGGTGGTGGTGGACGCAACGGGGGTGGCAGTTACCTCGGTAGCGGTGGTGGTGTTGGTTGTGGCGGTGGCAGCGGGTGGTAGTTGTAGTGGGGTAGTAGCAAGGCAAGAGTAAGATAGATGTAGGATTGTAGTAAAGCAAAAGTGAGAGTGAGTAGGACGCAAAAGTAGGCAACAGGCAGTTAGGCACCTAGACACATGAGTTGTTAAATAATCTAGGCCTACCAGCAAATTAGCAAGTCTGGGCTACAAGTAAGCGGTGGGAAGACTTAGGACTTAGGACACCATTGGGTTGGTGAGGTATTTTAGTCCGTGAGAATGCTGATTCTTTAGCTTAGCAGCCAGTTGTCTCAAGCAAACAAAACAAACCCACTGTGGTTAGTATGTAGGCAGCGGGTAGTTACGCAGTTTCTGCGTGGGTAGGTCGTGTGATTAGCTTCAGCTTGGCTCAAGCCTTCGCCATGCTCGGTGTCAACCCTTCGCCGTTGCTGGGCGCGGAAGACGCGGAGGAAGCGCACGCGCCTTATGTGAAGATCATCGAGGCGTTCTGCCGCAGTTTGCGGGGGATCCTTTGAGGAAAGCGTAAGATTTGAGACCATGCGACTTTCCAAGCCAAATACGCCACTTTCGATCAAGTTGGTTGGGTGCTCAGAAAATTGGGGTCGGTCTCCTGAAATGGTTGCGGTTTCCCTCAAAACCAGAAGGCATCAGCCATGCGAAGCTCCCGTCCAATTGCAGGGGCTGGCAGCCGCCACACTCTTCGTTTGCAGCGGCAAGCTGGTGTCTCTCGCAGCTCCTGAGCTAGGCCTAGGGCCAGGCCGGGCAAACTTGACCTCCAGCGTTGTTCAACTGAGATTGTTAGTCAGATCATGGTGTTTCTTCCCTTTGACCCACCAAAAAGAGTGACTTTGATGATGGTCAAATGGACCAGTTTAGCATTCAACCATGGTTCTGACATGTTCCACGGTCCAATCAGCTTGGCGCGAACGGACCAAGAAGCAACAGCTTAGGCCTTCAACACGCCGTGTTCGGGCGCGGTTTTGAAACCAGGCGTTGGCCCTCTCCTCCTGGCGACTGACACTTCAAAGGAGCTCGTGGAGAGGCATTGCGGGTATCATCGCGTCTTAGCGCCATATGCCTGGGACTCAGACGGTCGCAGCGCATGTCTGTTTTCGGTTGCAATGGGAAACCAACAAATAAATAAACTTGATCTTGAAGAAAGTCCCGGACCTTAGACCCAGGCACCGGTCTTCACGTATGTGGGCATCTTTCTCTTCGTGCTCGTCTTTATTCTGTCTGCGGTCAAGAAGTTGAAGGACTGCTTGGAACAGAATCGCTTGATTCTGTGTGGCCTTTGGTCCTTGCCTTTTGCTTTATTTTTGTGAATGTGCCCACATCCAATGCTTGGCATCAGCCAGCGATACCAAATGACTCTTCGCCTCAGTTACAGTGCTTCTGGAAAGATGCGAGCCGTTCGCTGCGGGAACACCGCTTCCGCAACTACGCTCAGCAACAGAGACTGCGGCGTAGAAGCCAAACAACATGCTCTTCAGAGGCTTCATCTCAGACACTTCGCAACCAAATTCGCGTGCCCTTCAGCAACTACGCAGAGGCTACAAAATAAGCAGCACGTCTGCAATCACCAGTGGGTGCTGCCACTTGTCTAGCTCATGCTCGTGTGGGTGTGGTGGCGGGTTGAAGGGGGTACCGCGCAGCCCAAACTGTGGTTTTTCGGTTTCCGGATGTCGCAGCATATCCTATTGTGGCATGTACCAAGTACATGTGCACCTTGACATTCTGTGCAGGATTTGGGCAAGGTGGTGCCGAGCTTGGATTTTTAGATGGCTTGTGAGAACTTTCTGCACACTTCTCACCAATCGAAGCTCTTTTCTGCGTGCCCAGGTGGGGATGATGGAGGGCTTCGGCCTACCCTTCCCCAAGTTCATGACCTTTGGCTGTATGTTTTGCATCATTGCGGGCAGCGTTTGCTATTTGACAGGCGGGACTTCGGGTTCGACAAGCGTTGCGTTGGCAGTTCAGCAATGCCTGCATGGAGCAAATCTGCCTGTGCCAGGTGTTCCGGTCCTCATGGAGTGGGGGGCGGAGTTCCTTTTCATTTTTATGCAGCTCGCCGGCGCTTGGCCATTCCATTCTATTTGGCCCGACTCCACAAACACCCCTTGGCTGAAGGACTGAGGACGTCGCAGAACTGCGAAAGAGCCCTTAAAGACCAGTCCAAATTGCAACTTTTCTTGCGCTGAAGGCTTTAGGAAGAAAGCGGTACTGACAGCATGATGCAAACTGGCTTGATAATTTCCGGGCACTACCGGGATGTGGCTGTGTATCAGAATGGATCCCTCTTTGGATGATTTCTGGGATCTGAAAGGAAGGCGGCACTTTCCTTTGAAAGGCTCCTTGCCATTTTTGACCGCTTTCCCGTTGCCCGCGTCTCGGCATCGGCACCTTGGCCTGAGGGTCATCGCCACCTACTACGGCCACTACAAGCCCTTTAAGGAAAAGAGGGACGAGCGCCGCGGCAAAATTCCACATTCCCAAGCGCCGGTTTTCCAACACCTGGCTGTAGAGTCAACTTTCACACCTAGCGGAACCGGGCAACTCTCCCAGAGGTTCCAGCTTTGTTTGTTCTTGGCTCCAAGCCATCCGGTTCCTTAGCCTTTCAGCCTTGTGTTTGGTGGTAATTTCCATTTCACCCACCAAAAGTTAAACTTTTCGCGGGGGATCTGACGGCCCAGAGTTTCAGAACAAGAAGCCACAGGTTCAACCTGCAGATGGTCTTGAAGAACCTGGCCATCATCGGTGTGACGCTGATGACCATCGGCTTCGAGGTCCCGGAGATCGGCAAGGACGGGACGCCGCTGGGCCTCAACGGGGCCCTGGGGCCCCTGGGGGAGTTCTTCGGGGAGATCTACCGCTGCTTCAGGCGGGGGCATGGAGGTTGCAGCACCACGAAGGAAGCGCATTTCAACCATGTATTTTTTAGGTGCGCCCTACGCACACCGGTGACATGGCCGTGATAGTAGGAGAGCAGCCTGCCAGAGTCGGTGCCCGGCAGGCCGTACTCCTTCATCTTCAAGTACAGCGGCATCGTGCTTTTTGTTGCGGTCTTCCTGCTGGCTGGCCTGAACCACTTGAAGAACTTTCAAGAGCTGGCGGGGCGCTCTGATCAGATCGCTGGGAATGAACATGCTGAATCATAATGGAGCAGCGCCCAACATTCCTATGGTGGCATCAGGTTTCCATTAAGTTTTGCCAAGGCCAGTTTGTAAACCTTGGCTCACTAGAATCTTGTTGGTAGAGAACCAAGCGTCAATGAGTTTGGGCGCTCCTCAATTAACAGAAAGAAGAATTGGTTGCCTGGGTGTCTTGGAGGGCTCAGTAGAAGAAGCGAAGGAAGAAGAAAAAAACAGAAGAAGAAGAAAAAGAAGAAAAAGAAGAAGAAGAAGCAAAAAGAAGGCAAAGAACAGCCAAAATGAGGAGAAGGAGAAGGAGAAGACCGAGTCTGCCTTACCCATCACTATTTGTTTGACCGGTTTGGAGGCTTCCGCTGTGAACCCTTCAGTGGATTCCAGCCCCCGGTGGCAGATCCAGAACCGCCTCTTTGTTTTGGTCTGCGGTTTCTGGGACCCAACATCCGACGCACCGAGCAATGACCACAACCGGGCGGAGGCCCAGGTGGACATCAACCGAAACCCGGGTAAATGAAGGTTAGAAAGGGACAATCCCAACCATAAATAGCTGCGGCCGCCTTCTTAATTCTTTACATGGTTCTTGGTCGACCATTTCAATACCGGGTTTTGATTATGACTCAGGTGGACATCAACCGGAAGCTCGGGGTGCCCCTGCCGGCGGTGTCCGCGGCCATCGCGGTGATCCTGCTGATCCTGGGCTCCTGCCTGTTCCTCACGGGCAAGGCGACTGATTCGTCCCGGTCGACCCGGGGTTTCTCATGTGTCTGTCGTTCTTTCTTTTTTTCCCTCCGACATGGCTTCGGCTCCTCTTTTGTTTTTTGTCCCCGCAAAAATCAATCAACCAGGGCGTTCTCTCAGTAAGAACACGGCCAAATGAAAGGGGTCTGCCCTTTTTCAAGGGGACCTTGTGTTGGGCTGGTTGAAAGGGAAGCCAAGAGAAACTACCGAAGCCACCTTGGGAGGGTCCCCCAAAACAAAGAAAGGCCACGCCCAAATGGCTTTCCCCCTTTTGGTATCCAGAAACCCAGAATGGGGCATCTTTCGAGTTGGAACCCGTTTGGGCCCGACAAAAGCCCACATGGGGAGTCCAGTGATTTGGATCGATTCCCATTGAACTATTGAACTGCAGGTTACTAGGGATCCCGGTAGGGTGCTTAACCATTCTAAGGGTTCCAAGAAAAGGGAACTATGACCACAGGCCACGTGGGGGGTGATCAAAGGCCCTGGAAAAACGACCGAAACATGATCTTTCCCACTAGGTTGGACAAGCAAGGATCCAAACGAAATGTTGCCCCACCCCATTAGCTGGGAAGACGTGGACCACTTCCTCGCGCCGCGGTTTTGGCTTTTCGGCCCCCCCCAACAGCACCGGGGAAAAAGAAGCCGGCAGGCGGTGTTCATGGAGCTGGGCGCGGAGGCGCTGTTGGTGTTTCTGGTGGTGGCCACCTTCTTCGCCCACCTGCCCCTGATGCGGACAGGCACGGGGCGGTTTTTGGCGGTTGGACGGGCGGGAAGCGAAGTGGGCACGGGGCTGGGAGAGTGGCTTGAGGGGAGGTGAGGTTGAGGAGGTTGAGGTTGAGGGTTGAGGTTGAGGTTGAGGCTTAAAATTAAGGAGATTAAAATAACTTGAAACTATTAACAAATACGGTACAAGGGTGGGTTGGGGGGCTGGTAATTGCCAGAAACTGCAGGCAGAAGCTTTGCCGTTCGGGTTCCTAGCCATCGGTCGGGCAAACTTGCTTTGAGCGTTGCCACAAAAGTTCGCCGAGACAAAGTCACAAAAGTTTTGATTGTCTAGGCGACTTCCAGCAATGGCTGCACACGCTGAAGAATGTCTCCCTGGCCGGGGCCTGCTTGATGACCATTGGCGCTGTGCTCCCACAGATCTGCCCGTAACACAGATGGCTTCCGGCGTGTTCCATCTTGGAACACTCAGTGACTCCGGGCTGCGATTCGCGGACCAGACCCCTCAGCAATGATTTCCAGCCCCATTCAGGGCTTCGGTTCCCTTTCTTTGCATCTAGGGGCGCCTCTGCTTTACAGCACCTCTCTTGAGCGCCGGAACCAAGACACGACGCTGACGATGTAATTAGCTGTACAGACGAAGGTCAGCGTGGCTTACCTGGGCACCGGTGAGATTGCTACGTGCAAGAGAAGAGACAGGGCTGGCGTCGGAAGCCTTGCCTCAAAAACAGGGCTGGCCTTGACTCATTGACAGGGTTTAGGTTCGGGAAGGCCGGGGGTGTGCACAACAGGAGCGGGTCGGCGGGCTCCTGGTGGACGCGATCTCCTTGCAGGCCAGCTGCCTCCCGGTAAATCCGCCCAACTCAACTGCCTTCGGGTTCAATCGACCAAATCGGAGAGGGACGGTCCACCTGGTAGAAATCCTGAACCATTTGGGAGCCAATGGCACATTTGGGAAGACCAAACCACTTGAACCCAGAGACATCTTGACTTGGAGAAGTTGCAACTGGATGTGTCGACTGAAGCCCAAGTTTTTGGGCTCTTCTGACCATGACACACGGCCACGAGTCCTCGCGGGACGCCGCGGCGCTCTGGGCCTACGAGTTGGTGATGCGCGAGGCGCGCGGGTGGGATGGGAGGTGAGCCGAATCGGAAGGGAAAGCCCATACCCCATGTCGACAACTTTGGTAGGAGCTTCTACTGCCTGCTCTTGTGGTAGTGAGGTGTCCATAAAACCTTAGCCATGTTGGTAGGACTCAAAGTGAGTCGGGTTTGGGCGCTCAGCTCTTCGGTTGCTCTCGATGCTTGGATGCTGGCGTTTGTTGAGAAGAAACAAATCGATGAAACTCCGACAAGCAAAGGTTTGTGGGTCCAGGCTGTTTGGGGGAAATCGAGACCTTTGCTGGCTGCCTAGGGAAGATCGAACAAATTGTTGTGAAGAAGCATCAAGTGGAGAGCCCTCGTAAGACCGCTAGCAAGTTGAATCTGCGCGGCATCAGAATCATAAGAACCAAAGGAGCTGCGGGGACACTTGCGCGGCACGGCTAAGATACAGGACCAGGCGTGTTGTGGGTGGAAGTGGATCCAACATCAAGCTTAAACATAGGACCTGAGGCTGACAAGCCCGAACACAATCACATCCAGATCTGTTTCAACAGAGTGCAGTTTGTGGCAGTTAGAGCAGGGCACCAACAGGAAGCCCATGTTGGAGCCGTAGGACGTGACCAATGGCTTCCGGGACCTGGTGGTGACTGCCCTCCAGTGCGCCTGGCCGGGACTTGAGGTCCTTCGTCCGGACTTGTGGTCCATTTGGCTGTCCAAACCGTTTTGGGATCCCATTTTGGTTGGTAGGTGAATTCGCCACCCATTTTAGGGCCTGTTTTAGTGGGGCTTGGGATGTTCACTGGGGGTACGATATGGATTTTGACCCATGGCCATTTGGGATATGAACCATTTGGGAGGAGATACTCGCCAAATTCCCCGCCCAGGGGACTCAAGTCAAGAGTCTTCTATAGTCAGTGCAATTCCACGTCAAGCCAATGGAGCAAAGACTTAGCGCAGATCGTACGCTTGGGGAAGCCCTCTTGACACATCCAATGGCGCCGGGAGAGTCCAATGGGTCTGATCAAAACCAATCCCTCAAAGGGATGGTTCAAATATCATTCCCAACCTAAGCGACACAGACGAGGAGGTCTTGTTGCCTGATTTGGTGGATCTCTGTGTGTTGCAAAGTTGCAAGGTCACAGGATGACCACTCTTTTCCAGTCCCAAGAGGCCACAAGCGACAAGGTGGCTGAAGGAAGCATGGCCAGGAGCCTTTCCCCTGTGGCTGTGGTACCTGGTAAATGGAAGCCGGGACCATGGAAACATGGACTAAAGCCTGCGGGCCGCTGGCTTAAATTTTGACCCATATGGCCATGCGTCAAAAGCCCGTACCCCCAGTGAACATCCCAATCCCCACTAAAATCCGCCGACGCCAGTCGAGCGTGTAGATGGCAGTGTGCAACTTGGTCTTCCTTCGGAATCTCTTATCAAAGCCGAAGGCTTTTGGGGCTGCCATTTTTTGGGCATGGTGTGCTGGGTGTCCAAAACCCTGTATGTTTCCACTGTTTTTGGGGCTTGCGCACTAACAATCTGCGTTTGGCCTAGGTCTCTAGGGGGGGTTTCCCTCGGACGCGCAGGATCTGCATCCCCGGCATCATCAGGATTATCTTGCTGCATGAATTTGTCTCTTTTTTTAGCAGATGCAAATGGTGTTTTGCTGTTCCAAGCAATGTTGGAATTGGCCTGTTAGGGGTCTGGGTGGGGCCAAGTGCAGTGATACGTTGAGGAACTGCTTGATTTTGCAAGAATGAGTGTTTTTTGCAATTCCCCACCTGTACAGAGCAGTTACCGCGAAACATCCCCTGCATTATCGTGCTTTTGGAAGTCTATTTTTCGGGATTTGATGATGGTTGATTTTGGGGAATATAAAAAACCACCCTGGTTTTTTGCACTTTTTTGTGGCCAGCCGGCTGCATTCCCAGCATTCCCGACATCTCTGGTATTTTCTGTGTTTGGTCAATTTTGCGTGTCTGAAAGTCTTGAAATCCATGCACGAAAATTACTTCGCTTCGAGCAATCCCCACCCTCCACGAGCGTGCGACTGTGAACACGGTTGTGTGAATTCAAGCATGGTTTTCGAGTGGCTTGGGGCCTATGACTGCTCAACAAGCTTTGCAATGAGAGCCTTCTCCACTTGTCTGTGTGTCAAACTCCACTTGTCTGCGAGCCGATCTCGAGAACTCAAACATCGGTTCCGTTAACAAAAGCCAAGCCCCTTCCAAAAAGAAGCCCGACGGGGGATTAAACGAAGTTGCTTATTCGCAGCCCAAAGCAACACAAATGCATCACCCTTTCCGAGCCTCAAACACGAAGACGCCAACATGAAATATATACCTAACTGCGCGCCAGGCGGGACATTAAGCAAAACCAGGCTGGCTAGCTGCTCTGGCAGGATACTGTGGCGAGCAGCTCCGGCTCGATACTGGCACGGGATACTCAGCGGGATACTCTACGGGATCCGCTGGCGAGCTAGTCTGGGATACTCAGCGGGATACTCGGCGGGATCCACTGGCGGGCTGCTCGGCTGCTCTGGTGGGATACTCGGCGGGACCCACTGGCGAGCTACTCTGGCGGGATACTCGGCGAGATACACTGGCGGGCTGCTCTGGTGGGATACTTGGCGGGATCCACTGGCGGGCTGCTCTGTGCGGGCTGGTCTGGTGGGATACTCGGCGGGATCCACACTGGCGGGCTGCTCTGGTGGGATACTTGGCGGCGGGATCCACTGGCGAGCCGCTCTGGCAAGCCGCTCTGGCAAGATACTTGGCGGGATCCACTGGCGAGTTTGTGGCGGGATAGTCGGCGGGATCCACTGGCGAGCCGCTCTGGAGCAGCATAAAGCGGGTGGTGCACCAACCCCAAAATGGCACCATTGGTTTTGACCCACACCCATGTTAAGCCACTTGTTTGCGGGTGCCGCCGCCAGGATGGACCCCGTGGTGGAAGAGGCTCAGCAGATGGCCGTCCAGGTGGCCCTCGGTTTGACCGGGCGCACTCACCTGGTCAAAACAAGTGAGGGATGAAAAGCCCTTGGTGAGCCTCTTCTTTGCCTCTCCCTCTCTCTCTCGATCCCTCCCTCCCTGCCTCCCTTTGTTTGCCCCCTTTGTCCCTATTCATTCTCCATGAAAACATATCGAATTCCGAACTCACGGGTGGCGGGGGGCGGGGTAGCGCGTATTTAATACGCACAACACGTTCCAACAAAGTTCTCAGAGATCCAAATATGAATGGATGTTCAGATGAGTTTTGAGACCTAAGCCCAGTGGTCGCTGTCAGTTGTCATCAAGGGTCCACGCAATGGACCCATGGATATATATATATATATATGCCAACCTCAAAAATCAGCGAGCGCGACATGATCGCATTGCCTGGGAAAGTCACAACCTTTTTCGCGCTCGTAAGCTTCTGCCGGTGCGGGCTGGCCCAGGTGGTAAATCGAGTGCTTGCAGATGAAGGCACCATTGAGGAGGCTGAGCTGGCAAGAGACATGGGAGAGCAGAACGAAGCAAACAAGGAAAGAAGGACGAAGGAATCGAAAGAAGCAGGAAGGGCCAAAGAGCTAACAAGACAATAAGTGAAAGAATCAGCGATCACCCCGATAGATAGATGAATAGATACACAAAGACAGAGAGAGAGAGAGAGCGCTAGAGACATGAACAAGGCTAAGAAAGAAAGCAGGAAAGAAAGAAAGAAATAAAGAAAGAAAGAAAGGCTAAGGAAGGAAGAAAGAAATAAAGAAAGAAAGGCTAAGGAAGGAAGAAAGAAATAAAGAAAGAAAGAAAGGCCAAGGAAGGAAGAAAGAAATAAAGAAAGAAAGAAGGAAAAGGAAAGGAAAGAAAAGGGGAGAAAGGGAAGGAAAGGAAAGGAAAGAAGGGAAGGAAAGGAAAGAAAGAAGGAAAGAAAGGAATAAGTAAAGAAAGAAAGGAAGGAAGAAAGAAAGAAAGAAAGAAAGAAAGAAAGACAGACAAAGAAAGAGTGACAGAAACAAGGAGACAAATAAGGAAAACAGGACATAACAATAGAAATATAGAAAAGAAGGAAGAACGGAAGAAACGACGGAAGGAAGGAACGAAAAAGGAATCAACATTTGTGAGCGAAGTAACTTATGACATAGCAAACACATGATTGAGACAGAAAGCAACGAAGGAAGAAATAACGAAAAGAAACAAACAGAAACAAAAACATACATAAAGGGACAAAAGGCAGGACGGAAGCAATGAGCGAAGGCAGGAGTAAATGAAGCAACAGTGCAACATGTCTTCATGAAATACACAAGTGCCATGAACAACAAGTAAAACAACCTGGAATAAGTAGGCAACAAAGCACATAAAGAAGGCAAGAAGGAAAGAAGGGGGAGAGAGAGCGAGAGACAGACAGAGGCAGCGGCAGAGAGAGGGAGAGAGGCAGAGAGAGAGGGAGAGAGAGGGAGAGAGGGAGAGAGAGAGCGAGAGAACAAGAAAGAACAAGGAGCGAGCGAGAGAGTGTCGTGCTGACATTCCGGTGCTCGTTGCCGCGGATGCACTCTTTGGACTAGCAACTTTCACCCTGCCCGTGAAAAGCCGCTTGGCGCAGGCCAAGCGAGTGCTCCGGGAAGCCTTGGAGGACCAGGAGCTCCGGAACACCGCCAAGGCGGGACGGTTTTTGTGGGAAGGCGGGCGCGGGCGCCGGGCCATAGCCGCCTGTGGGCTTCTTTGCCAGCCTAAACACCCTAAGGGCGAAGCAAGATACACAAGCTTCGCGCTACCAGTTCGTCGGATTTCGTCCCTGATGGCTATTTCGTCATGTCAGGATTATTATTACCTGTGGATGGGCCTTCTGTGAATCTATGTCGCATCAACTGTGCAGTTGGTTTTCAGTAAGAAGCTTCGCCGCCTTTCCTAGAGAATAGGGATGCAAAGCCCACACTTTCACTTTATCCGTGGCCGGGCAGGCGACCAAGAGGTGAGTGTCGTGGGCAAGTTGGGATTATGGCAAAAAGGAGGCAGACACCGTCTTTACAAGAAACTCATCTATAGAAGCTGAGAAGACGATGTTTGGACACTTTTCCTGGCCATTGATGCTAGGCTAGTTGATTTTCACGGATTCGCATGAGTGTTGCGACATTTTGCCAAGCACGGCACGGTTTCCTTTTCGGCGGGTTGCGTCAGCGTGTGGCGGTGGGGATGGTGGTGTTCAGCCGTGTATTGCGGGGGGTGATGCTGAAGGTGGCAAGGGTGAATGGCACTTTGCCGAGGGCGCCCAGCACAAAGAAGCTACTCCAGCCAGGCTTGTAAATTCACCGCGCTTGAGTTTATCTATCAAAGGGCCTGTCACCTGAAATCGGCCAGGAGTCGCTGTGGAACATTGTGATGCCCTGGAGCTCCCGCCGCTTGGTGTCAGAGAGCCTTTCCGGAGCCGCGTGCGGCGCGGGGGGTGGCAATGTTTGTGTCCGGCGGAACTGAACGAAGGACAAGGGTGCCTCAAATCGCTTGCAGCCGGGCTCCCATAACAAGGACAAGGGTGTCTTAAGGACAATAGCTTTTACGAAGGAGAGGAGCATTGCATGAGAGACGCTAGGCAAGCACGCTTGATTGCGGTTAATGCATCGGAACCAAAGGGCACAGGATGTTGCACTGCTGTTGTATTTGTTGATACAGGATCTTTTTTGTCCCTCGTTGAATGATTTTCCAGTCTTTTCTTTTGGTTTCAAACCTGAAAGTAGTACCAAGTGAAAGCCCAAGCCCGCTCACCTTGAGGCCCCCCCAACGAGCTGAAGCGGGCGCTTCGATCCGCTGAGGAGCGCGTTCAGTTGGGCGATGGCAGGTGACGTGGGGTCAAACTGAGGCCCTGGTGACACATGGGTGTGACGTTCTTGTTTTTTTTTGGGGGGGACCCGCAAGAATGGTGGTTTTTCCCTGCTGGTTTTCCCTTAAAACCAGAAAAAAACAAAGGGGCGCCCTCAAAAGCGACAGACGCGCGTCTCTGATGGTGGGCCCCACATTTAGAGAGGATTTGGCATCTCTGCCATCCCTCACGGATGACGAGCGGGCCCTTCTCAGGCCAGGCTCCAAAGCCAGAGGAAGGGGTGCTTTAGATGCCTGAGTTGGCAATGCGGGCAGATGCCGCGCCGAAAAGACCAGGGGAGTAGTTCCGGAGGCAGAGAGGTTTGCCGTGCGCAACAGGTGGTCCCCGGCGCGCAAACTGTTGACATGCGCCTCAAATACCTCCCCCTCCCGCCTTGGCCGCTTGCCAGTTTTGGTTTGGCCGTCGCAACACGCATCACCATACTCGCTAGTTGGACCTGGCGCAGCTTCCAGATTTGCGTGCTTCTCAACGCCTCTTTCTTTGGTTGGTATTCGGCGTATTTGAGGGGGGACCCAGGGACGCCAACCATTTTAGGGGACCATTTTGAGTTTAGACCCCGTAGCCGAAGCTCCTTTGCAAGTTCATGGAGGGCTCCATGTCAGGTCACTGCAGGCGCGGCTGAAGGAAGATGCCAAGCGGGGCACTTCGGCAGAACAGAGCTCCGACTCTCATTGGGACCATTGCGAGGGGCGGGTGTACGTGTGGGGACTTGGGAGGCTAACCACGGCTGTGCCTTCATTTCTGAACCCCAAGACGTACCCCCAGCATCTGCAATGCATTGGAATCTTCGCTGGGACCCGGGGATCCACCCCAAAGCCGCCCCAAAGGATTGGCTAAGACCCCATGCCCTGCGCAAGTCGTGGTTCGACGCTGCGGCCGGCGGAGAAACAGATGATTGGCTGTAAGATGGAGGGCAAAGTTTGGGGTAGGATGATGAAATAATTTTTTCCATGTTTGTTTCTGCAGAAGATTCCCCAGGATTTGGCATGGCAGTCATTCTTCCTCTGGGCGGCTTGTGGACAATGCAAACCGTGCTGAGCAGATTGTGGCAGCTGAGGCCCTGATGTGTCTAAACCAGCGACACGCTTGCCGAGGACCCTTGCTGTTTTGTGTTTTGGCTCAATGGACAAGCCAGGCCCACTCGATTGCTGAAAGCATGACTGTCACAACAGAAGCACCTGAAAAATGGTGGTTCTCCTCTTGGCTTCCTTTTCGAAGAAGCTGAGCAGTCTCCTCAAAAGAGCACCCAAGTGTGGAAGCAGTGGCCAGTAGCGAATCGCAACCTCTGAGCCTTGGCAGGACTGAAGGCTGCGAGGCATCGGCCTCACGATGAGCTTTACTCGGGGCTGTTGGTGCATGCGATCTACGCAAGCTTCAGGGAGAGTGCGCAAGCGCCCTGGGCGTATGGGGACCTGAATCATGCCCCGACAGTGAGCAAATTGTTGAGGGGATGCCCGGAGCGTTTCTTTTCTGCCTAAGTGATTTGACCTTGCGTCAAGGATGTGTGTTTTGGTGCTAATATGGTTCCAGAGGTCCCTGGATTATTGTGGAATGACACCTCTGCGTTGAATATCGACCTGCTTGCGAGGGCATGGAGACTGAGAAGACCTCGGTCGTAGCCCCGGGCTGCGGTCAAGCTGGCAGGGCGACTCTAGATGGTTAGCTGACAGGTACTCAACCAATCGCTTCGTTCAGCCTGCTCATGAAAAAAGCACCCGAAAGACGCTACTGTGCTTTTGTTGAACATCGTTTTCTGGGGGCAATCACTTCGTTCAGCTGCTTATGAAAAAGTACCCAAAAGAAGCGACCGGGGTTTTGTCCACCATCGTTTTTTTGAGGGGCCCGTGCCATCGCATTCAGGCGACGCCAGAGCCGGAGTCGGAGCCGAAGCCCGTGCCGGAGCCAGGCAGGGGTGCGAGTCGATGGGCCAATCCACCAATCAGATTCTGCTGGCTGTGGGTCAAAAATAGGTACCCAAATGGAACCCTAGTAAGTCGAAACATGGACCAACACCTGCCTTTTTTTTGACTCATGGCCGGGTCACCATTTGAAATCCAGAACCTCGGCCGCTCAAAGATGTGAAGGCCTAACGGAGAGCAAGCCAGAGACGAAGCAGGACATGCAGGACCAGTGCGCTCTGTGGATGCTTTCTGACAACCTGTCTGTCTCAAATCGCGGGCTCCTTTGACATGGCAAATGCCGAAGAATCTCTGCGAACCATATGTTTCCCGCGAGTCTTAAACTGTTGCTCCTGACACCTGAATTGGAACATCGTGGTCATAGCACCTTGGGCCAATTGCCGATGGTGATCTCCCAACATCGGGCTCCGCAGACTTGAGACTGATGGGTCAAATGTTGAACCCCTCTCTTGGCGTTTAAATAGAAAGAGCCAGCAAAAAACACCTCCAAGCCAATAGTGTGGGTGTAGGTGTGCGATTCTTGGCTGGATGACTTTTGAAAGGGCCCCAATAAGAAAGGACTTCACCATGGGGAAGACGAATCCAATCACAACGCCCAAACAGTTTTGGCCAAATGTTCTACACACACAGCGGGCTTTTTCCAGGAGGGACCGGAGGCCGACAAGGAGAGCGGGACCCGCCGGGTCCCGGAGGCTGTAGAGAGCTTGAGCTTCACCAAGCTGAGCGGGGTCAGGAGAAACGGGACCTACCTGGACTAGCGGCGCCTTGTTGAGCGCGGCGCTCAGAGTTTGAAGGGGTCGAGACAAACGCGTGCCTTCAAGTTCGCTTTCGTGGGACCCGCCAGGAAAATGCGCTACAAGACGGGCTTTGGGCAGCGAAGAGCGAACCAGCCCCGAGGGTCGCTGTTGACATACAGGGCGGCGAGCGCCGAAGCCAGCCGGCGGGGCGATGCGAAGGATGACCCGCGCCAGACCAAAGTTGCAGCTGGGTCGCGATGGTTGCAGTGGCGCGAACATGCGCCCAGGCTTTTGACAAGTCGCCAGCATCTTTGACCCGCATGTGCATTCGTAGAACATCGGACAAAAAAGGGCCGTGCTGCGTTGGTCCAAGCAGCGGGCCTCCTTTTAGAGCCAAGTCTTAATTTGTGCAGCTTGCGACTCGAGGGATTGCGCCTCCCGCGGTCGTCGGGTCAAGCCTGCTTGTGGGCAGATGGATGATCTATGCACTGAAAGCCGGCCACAAACCATAGCAGAGCCAAAGACTAGCCTCGGCCTTAGGATTTTTGATCTTTCTTGACTCTGGCAGCGCCTCCTGCGCCGGGCTGCTAAACAGGCGGGTACTTCAAAGCTGATTCGGGCCTCGCAATGAATCAAGGAGGCGGCAGATTCTGCTTGGCAGGTGCCATGCTGGACGTCAACGATGACTTTGATCAGCTGGAAAGAAGATTCGAGCAGCAGTACGAGGCCGGAACCTCAGTTGCGCTGCAATACCGTGGAGGGACAAACTCCTACACTAGTTGGGATGGATGAACTCCTGTGCATACTGGGACAAATCACCTACCAACTGGTGTGGGATTTTGTCCATCCAGAGTATGACGTACGACGTTTTGTGCATTTTGTTGTTGGCTGCTTTGCAGCTTGGCATCCGCTTAGCGCCTTAGCTGCTTGTTCACTTGGCTGCTTGTAGTTGGCCGGAGTTTGTGAGGTAGGTGATTGCCTGGTGTGTTTGGCTGCCTGTTGGCCGCCCTGCTTCAACTGAATGTTTCAGTGCAGATCTGCAAGTTGTTCTGTGTCTGGTTGTTTCGGCAGGAGTGCCATCGTAATTCGGGTTTTGTGTTTCGGGTTGTCTTTCTCTTGAGGTGACAGAGCCAAAGGTGCTTGGAGAGGGCACCTACGGAAAGGCAAGGGGGGGGTTGGAGGTCGGACGTTGACATTCAGGCAGCGAGCCTATCAAACACACTGCTGGATAGACATGAGCCTCGTTTGCCGTTGATCATCGTCATCCCAACAACGCCTTCAGCTCGATCTCGTTGGACAGTGAGGCAACAGGCGGTTGGATCCAATAGCATCGATTGTTTGGGCTTGGGCCCTTCGACGAGGAAAAGTGCCTGCCTGTCCGTCTAGGTGCCAGGCCGTCCTCAGAGCCACATTTTTGTTTGTGTGTCTTGCCCAACAGATGCTGGGGGAGGACTCTGAGGGTCCCGGCTGCCCATTTTGGGCTGGTTTGGGCAAACTCTGAGGCCACCAGTCCCTTTCCCTGCGGGATGTGCGTCCTCACGTGCTTTGCTGCCCATGCTTTTTCCAATTGAGAGAGTTGTAGGACAACGGACGCTGGGTTTTGGGTCGTCTTGTTGTTCTCCTTGCCTTCCCCTCCCTCCCCCGTCCCCTCCCCGTCCCCTCCCCTCCCCTACCCTCCCCTCCCTCACTTCTTCTCTGGCTTTGTGAAGCCGCTCCCTTGCGCTCTGTAGGTGTACAAGGCGGTCCGCAGACAAAACGGCCAGGCAGGCATCGCTGGAGATGGGCTTGGATCAAAGCGCAGCTTAGCTGTTTGTCCTTCGCAGACGTTTAGACAAGTTTACATCATATCTATGAGCAAGCACAAATTCATCGGACAACGTGATGTGGATTTCCTCTTGTTTTGTCTTCTGTGCGTGTCTTTCTCGTTTTTTGTGCTGCTTGTGCGTGTGGCCATGATCCATTCTTATTCCAAGCAAACGTTGCTCAGCTAGTCCAACTTGTGAGTGTCTCCTTCCGCAGACACACAGAGCCAAAGGCACTCGAGGCTCCACCACTTGAACGAGCTCGCTAGGTCACAGCTTGCCAGCTGAGCAAAGTGCCAACCTTCCAAATATGAGGCTGTGGACGCTCTGCCAAATGACAGGTTCCCAGATTGCTCGATCAACCGAGAGAGAAGTCCAATCATATCTTTTGGCAAGCCACAAAACACGCATTGCCAGAGACGCGGAGGGGAGCTTCGCTTTGTGCGTGTCGCCATGGCACTAGTCATGGCCGCGCAGCAGGACGAGCCGCAGGACTTAGATTCTGACTCGGAGGGGCTGGAGAGGATGCTGGTGCCGAGTCTGCACTTTGCTTACGACAGAACCGGAAACGGCCTCAAAGGTCCTCAAAATCCAAGGTGTTTTGGGAAACCTGGAAACCTTCCGGTAATCTCGCAATTGTTTTCATCTTTTCCTGTGACGCCAGCACTCGTGTGGTTTGCCCCGGAGCCGTCATCAATTCACGGGGCCATGTTGCGCAATAATTTCGCACAGGCGCAAAATACTTCACAGGGTCAAGTGGCGTTTGCAAAGGAAGAATGCACCCCAAGAAGGCGTCAATGGCCGGAGCAGCTGCTTCAAGGAACAGCTTGTAAAAGCTTCGCACCCGTCCCTCGCCCAAAATGCCGCGTTTGTGACATCGAAGATTCTGGGGCAGCAGGTGAAGCATCAATGTTGAGTATCCAATGATGGTCAACTGGAGAAAGGATTGGGCAGGAGAGACATCCGTTATCCAAAGCATTGACCACGGTGTGGGTCTCACTTCCGGATAAGTCCTGAGCCACAGACTCACTCCCGAAACCCCAAGCCCCAAATCAACTCGGATTGCATGTCTTTTGTATGGGACTCCACCCCTGGCAAAAATAACAACAACGTAGTTGTCCTTTAGGTTTCCCTTTAAAACCACACCTGGAGTCTGAAGCCTAGGACCTCAACCTTTTCCCCGCGAAACGAGAATTAAAATGGATCCCTCTTGGAGAAACGAACGATCATTTCACCCGCGGCTTCTCAAAATGCTCCCCCTAGCAGGGTCAACACACGCGTTTCTTTTCGCCTTCCCTTGAACACAAACAAGTGTCAGGTTTTTCCTTTGGGGTTGTTTAAAGCGTGTTTTTGCTTCCCTTGTTTGGTTTCGGTTTTGACTTTCAGTTGGGAACGCTTTCAATAGACAAAAAACATGTCACTTTTTTCTCTTGGGTTTTAAAGCGTGTTTCGTTTTCCCAGGTTTGGTTTCGTCTTTTTTTTCCCTTTTTCGGTTGGGCAGACCGCCGGCTTTGCGTGAGACGAGAGGTGGACATGGGCTTCCCGGCCAGCGCGGCCGCCGGGGCGCTGCGGCGCGCGGGCGACCTCGCGGGAGCCGCGGAGCTCCTGGCGCGGGAGGAGGCGCCGCCGGAGGCGGGGGCGGGGAAGGGCGAAGGGGAGCGAAAGGGTTGGTCTCCGTCCCAAAAAAAAGAAGAGGGTTCCAACCAAAAGAAGCTTTCATCATATCTCTGTTGTGTTTTTTGGAGGGGGGGAGAACCCCGCGTCGTTTAAGGGTAAATTGGGGAAGTCAAACGGACACCGACCAGGTTGAGCTTGGAAACATGATGTACGGTGAAAGTAATATGTCTGGACCAGGTGGTCCTTTACTTTGTGCTAGAACCCAACCAATGATTGGCCTTTTCCAGGTACAGCAGGGCTAAGGGTTGTGCCATTCTAAGGCTAGGCCCAAGTAAGGGGAGCTGACGAGTTGACCCATGGTGGAAGTCATGGGCCAGTCAAACATGATTTGTAGCGTTCCTTTGTTCAAGAACCAGAATATGAACCACCAGTGTGACAAGGCGTCTGGATTCCAGGGTTTGCTCGCATATTACATGAATGTGAGCAAAGTAAGCCTTGATGAGCTGCCCTCTGGCCGTTCGATAGCCAAGGGAAGGATCCAAGCAACCACATGCCACCCAACCCAAAAAAAAGGAAACACACTGAGAAGCAGACAGCCGCGTAGAGGCTCAAGGCAGGGTGTCTCGAGCTTACTGTCATCTTGCTTCCCTCACGACGATACCTGGCAAGGGCCCTGGTTTGACAACAGCGTTGGAGCCCGCAAAAACTAAGACAAGAACGGTCACCTTCCCAAATCAGACCTTGCAATCACGTCCCCCTTAAATTAATGCAGGCAATCGAATCATCCTCATCCCCCCCCTCCCCCTCCCCATTTCCCCTTCCTGGGGGCTCAAATTCCTGACCGGAAACTCAGCCACGAGGAAAGGCTGTTGCCCTGTGGCTTCCCTGTACCAGGTCCTTCTCCATAAGCCAACCAAAAGAGGGCGTTCGGCCTTTCCCGCAGCCTTTTGTCTTGGCATCCACGTCATAGCAGCTGGCCAGATTGTTGGTGTCTTGTTGGCTTCGGAAGACACGGGGGGAAATCTCAAAAGGCCTGTCCAACCCAGCGGTTTTGGCTTGGTTGAAGAATTGCGGCTTGTGTGGTTTTAGGGATTAGGCTACCGGGGGATTCAGAGCTAAGAGTTTAGGGTTAAGGGTGCGTTGTGTTGCTGTCCACTAACACTGTTGGCGCCCAGCAGCAACTCCGAAGTCATATCCTCTTTCATAGCTCTGCAAAGTTCACGTTCTCTTCTCATTTTTCCACAGCCGCTCTTCCCTCTTCTTTCTCCACAAGACCCCGGCCCGGAAAAGCCACCCAAACCCAGCGCTAAATCCAACACTACTACAATAGACTGCGCTAAGCTTGCCCTAAACTCGCCAAAATCTTGGCGTAAACTCGGCCAACACCCACCCTAAGCCCGCCGTGAACTGACCCACACCCGATTCGACCCTTAGCCAGCCCTCAACCTATGCCTCAGCCGACCCCAAAACTGCCCATGTAGATCGCTGCTAGCAGCGCTCGGGGGGTGTGGTAGTCTGAGTCCCCAACAAACATATCCCAACTGTCTTCTTTTTGTTTGGTTGGGTGTTCCCTCAAGTAGTCTGCGTCCTCAACAAACTTCTCCAAGCAGTCTGAATCCTCAAGCAGTCTGAATCCTCAACAAACAACTGTGTTTTTGTGCGGGGGCTGTAGTAGTCTGAGTCCCCAACAAACATATCCCAACTGTCTTCTTTTTGTTTGGTTGGGTGTTCCCTCAAGTAGTCTGCGTCCTCAACAAACTTCTCCAAGCAGTCTGAATCCTCAAGCAGTCTGAATCCTCAACAAACAGTGTTTTTGTGCGGGGTTTGTGGTAGTCTGAGTCCCCAACCATCAAATCCCAACTGTCTTCTTTTTGTTTGGTTGGGTGTTCCCTCAAGTAGTCTGCGTCCTCAACAAACTTATCCAAGCAGTCTGAATCCTCAAGCAGTCTGAATCCTCAACAAACAGTGTTTTTGTGCAGGGAGTGTGGTAGTCTGAGTCCCCAACAAACAAATCCCAACCGTCTTCTATTTGTTTGGTTGGGTGTTCCCTCACGTAGTCTGCGTCCTCAACAAGCTTTTCCAAGCAGTCTGAATCCTCAAGCAGTCTGAATCCTCAACAAACAACTGTGTTTTTGTGCGGGGCGTGTGGTAGTCTGAGTCCCCAACAAACATATCCCAACTGTCTTCTTTTTGTTTGGTTGGGTGTTTCCTCAAGTAGTCTGCGTCCTCAACAAACTTCTCCAAGCAGTCTGAATCCTCAAGCAGTCTGAATCCTCAACAAACAACAGTGTTTTTGTGCGGGGGGTGTGGTAGTCTGAGTCCCCAACAAACAAATTCCAACTGTCTTCTTTTTGTTTGGTTGGGTGTTCCATCACGTAGTCTGCGTCCTCAACAAACTTCTCCAAGCAGTCTGAATCCTCAAGCAGTCTGAATCCTAACAAACAATGTGTTTTTGTGCGGGGTGTGTGGTAGTCTGAGTCCCCAACAAACATATCCCAACTGTCTTCTTTTTGTTTGGTTGGGTGTTCCCTCAAGTAGTCTGCGTCCTCAACAAACTTATCCAAGCAGTCTGAATCCTCAAGCAGTCTGAATCCTCAACAAACAACTGTGTTTTTGTGCGGGGGGTGTAGTAGTCTGAGTCCCCAACAAACATATCCCAACTGTCTTCTTTTTGTTTGGTTGGGTGTTCCCTCAAGTAGTCTGCGTCCTCAACAAACTTCTCCATGCAGTCTGAATCCTCAAGCAGTCTGAATCCTCAACAAACAACTGTGTTTGTGTGCGGGGGGTGTAGTAGTCTGAGTCCCCAACAAACATATCCCAACTGTCTTCTTTTTGTTTGGTTGGGTGTTCCCTCAAGTAGTCTGCGTCCTCAACAAACTTCTCAAGCAGTCTGAATCCTCAACAAACAAACAAACAACTGTGTTTTTGTGCGGGTGTGGTAGTCTGAGTCCCCAACAAACATCCCAACTGTCTTCTTTTTGTTTGGTTGGGTGTTCCCTCAAGTAGTCTGCGTCCTCAACAAACTTATCCAAGCAGTCTGAATCCTCAAGCAGTCTGAATCCTCAACAAACAACTGTGTTTTTGTGCGGGGGTGTAGTAGTCTGAGTCCCCAACAAACATATCCCAACTGTCTTCTTTTTGTTTGGTTGGGTGTTCCCTCAAGTAGTCTGCGTCCTCAACAAACTTATCCAAGCAGTCTGAATCCTCAACAAACAACTGTGTTTTGTGCGGGGGTGTAGTAGTCTGAGTCCCCAACAAACATATCCCAACTGTCTTCTTTTTGTTTGGTTGGGTGTTCCCTCAAGTAGTCTGCGTCCTCAACAAACTTCTCCAAGCAGTCTGAA